CCAGAGATACGAAGAATTCAAGACCTCGGAGCCTTCCGCCGTGCCCTGAAGACCTTCCTTTTTCAGCAAGCCGGGTTGGCTTAATGCTTTTTAAATGTTTTTAATGTTTTGTTACTGTTTTTTAATTTTGGGGCCAAATTTATATATATATCTTTTTGAATTGTTTTTAATGTTTGTATCTATGTTTTTTACTTTGGCTGTACACTGCCCTGAGTCCTTCGGGAGAAGGGCGGTTTATAAATTTGATAATAAATAATAAATAAAAACTTATGACCACAATTGAGCCCAAAATTTCCATTGCTAGGCAAGACAGCTATGTGAGTTTTACCCCATTTTATTACCTTTCATGCCACAGTTGGTAAGTGAATCATTAAATTTGTTAAATTAGTTTTTTTTTTAATTTATTTATATGCCGCCCTTCTCCGGAGACTCAGGGCGGCTTACAGTGTGTTAAGCAATAGCCTTCATTTTTTTGTATATTTTATACAAAGTCAGCTTATTGCCCCCACAAACTGGGTACTCAATTTACCTACCTTAGAAAGGATGGAAGGCTGAGTCAACCTTGAGCCTGGCAAGATTTGAACTTACTTTAATTGCAGACAGCTGGTGTTAAATTACAGTGCCTTGTCTGCAGAGCTATCCAGGCTCAGTAACATGGTTGTTAAATGAATCTGGCTTCCCCATTGACTTTGCTTGTCAGAAGGTGGCAAAAAATGATCAAATGACCCTGGGACACTGCAACTATCATAAATACATGCCAATTATCAAACATCTGAATTTTGATCATGTGACATGAGGATGCTACAAGGATCATAAGTTACTTTTTTCAGTGCCACTATAACTTTGAATGGTCACTAAACAAATGGTTGTAAGTTGAGGACTACTTGTATACCTGGCAATACTATGGAACTGATTTTCCACTTTCGTTCTTCAAATTTTCTCCGCTTCCTAGTATAGTTTACAAGAGGAGAGATCTCCTTCACAACCTACCCGGCTTAGCTTTACAGAAAACTGCCAATGACAGCAACACAGACAAAAATTGGAATGTGTCACTATCCATACACTCATAAACTATAACTTATCCCCATCAATATTTATATTGTAAAGTCCAATGACTTTACTTTGGCAGGAGAAGACCAAATAATGCTGGGAAATCAACATCATTCTGTTAAGATAAATTCGGTTGGACAGCGGCACATGAATAGGGATTATTTATTTATTTATTTATTTATTGGTTCGATTTATATGCCGCCCTTCTCCAGAGACTCAGGGCGGCTTTCACTGGATTAATCGAAAAGCATGTTTATATACTGTAGTTTTTCAAAAGATGCATTTCAACTGCATTTCCCATCATTTCCATAATATGGAAATCTGGTTGAGACTTCTTGGAGTTTCAGTCTCACTACAATTAAATGATATTCAACAGGGGAAGGCTAATGTAAATACAATTCCTTGAAGAGGAAAAAATAACACAGGCTTCCAAAAATCTAATTTGAGCATATTTACGCATAAATAATTCAGAATTAAAAAGGAACGTGAAATAGTTCAAAAGGTTCCCTTCAAATTGGGAAACTGAATGTTAAAACAGCCGATATGATTTGCTAATTAACTGTGAATCCTACATATTAACACAAAACTTTCCAACATCAGAGGTGATAACAGTGAGGTGCTCTGAGATAATTACGACTGATTGTGAAATGGTTGAACTTGTCATTTATAAAAAGCACTAAATAACACTTTGGCAGAGCTGCTCCTCAGTACGCAGGGCGCTCAAACAACACCGAGTCGCCCTGAGTCTCCGGAGAAAGGCGGCATATAAATTGAACTAATAAATAATAAATAAATAAACACACAATCAATACTTTAAAGCAAATATTAGTTGAATTCAGAATGTAAAATATGGAGTATGATACTTCTGGATTTTGCATGGATATACTTTGTAATCAGTCTGGTATAGTGCTGAAGGCATCAGAAACCAGGAGACCATTCTAATCTTACCTTAGGCACACAACCAGCTGAGTGACATTGAGCCAGTCACTCTCACTCAGTCTTATGAAGGAGGCAGTGCCAAACCACTTCCCCAAAACCTTGCCAAGAAAATGGCAGAGACTGCCATTGGAGACTGCCTTGTCTAGGCAGTCTCCAAGAATCAGACATGATTAATTGAATGGAAGAAAAAATGTAATCACAATTGGAATATTGTACAGTATACAGCTTTGGTTACTGCAGTCCCCCCCAAAAGAAATCAAAGAACACCCCCCCCCCAAAGCACTAAGCATCAACCAAAATTATCAGAGGACTAGAGCATCTTTCCCTACGCCCTACTGTGATACTTACTTCTACAATTTTCAGCAATAATCATGTTGGCTGATTAATTTAGGGAGTTATAATCTACACATTCTTGGCAGAGTTAGAGCAATTCTCTTTGAGAATTTGTCCCTCTTGCTGGGACATATCTGGTTCTACAAAAGCACTAAATGAAAAAAATGTCAAGAGGTACAGAAAAGTGTGTCATGTGGACAAATCTAGAGGCTAATAAAACTGGGCAGTGATTCAAGAACAAATAAAACGAAATAAAGTTTTATACAGGACCTATTGGAATAATGGAATTTGCTACAAGATGTAGTGATTGCTATCACCTGGGACAATCGTAAAAGGAAAGCAATCAATTTTATAAACAAGGATTAGCAAACAATAGCTACATGACAGGAATACATTAGCTTCCAATCACAAATCATTTCATTTTGAACACCATGAATTGCAGATCATTTCATTTTGAATATAAGGAGATGTGGTTGCTTCAGTTGGGCCTTGCTTTAGAGCTTCTTATATATGGTATATCTGACTAGGTATGTGTAATGGATTGGAATTTTGAATCAGCTAGGCTTTTGGTCTTATCCAACTGGGCCCTTCAAAAATTCTTATGACTGTACTAAATTATCCTTATTCAGATTAAAATAGGCTGGAGCAGCACCCAATGAAAGATGAGGTCTTAATATCCTTAAAACTTAAAACTGATCCATATCAGAAATACAGTTCCATTTAAAAGACAATGAAAGACATATTCCAGGTTAGGCAACCCCTATCCCAGATACCCTATTGGCATCTGAGGGAGATGGGCAATTTAGAAATAGGGAATATAAAAATAAATTTTCTTTGGAGTAGATTTTAGTGTACGGCTCTCACTGTATCCATTCCTAAATGTCAGACACTGGTTCAGATTTTCCATAGCTTCATCTTGAATGGAAAAAGGGAAGGTGATGCCACTGCATTGTACTTCCTCAGATTCTGAAGCTTACTGTAGCAAAAGAAGAGAGATACTACAAAATGGGAATGCTATAACTATCTGGAGAAAAGTAAATTACAACCATTTATGGATAAGCATAGCAGCTGGGGCACAAGGATACCACTCTAAATGGCATCAGAAGAATCTTATAAAGCTATCAGAAATGAGGAAATGACCTCTCCTCATACTGAGCCTTTGCAAGTGTCTTAAACTGTTCAGAGATTTGCCAGCCTCAAATTAATATTTGATAATATTAATATTTTTTAATATTTTTTAATATTTTTTAAATATTTTTTAATATTTTTTTAATTTGGGCAGGGTGGTATGTGGAGAGGACACAAGTTTTTAATATTTATTAATATTTTTAAATATTTTTAAATTATTTTTTTAATTTGGGCAGGGTGGTATGTGGAGAGGACACAAGTTTTCCTCTTCTCCTGAAATATAAAGAAGAAAATTAACTTTCTATTCTGAATATTTTTTCTATTCTGAATATAAAGAAGAACATTATAAACTTTGCATTACTTGGCCCAAGCTAACCTCCAAATATTTCTTTTCCCCCAGCATCAAGAATATTTACTTAAACTCTCAAGAGCCCTAGCCAGTCAATTCCCACACTACTCTGTCTCATTTCCTTTTTTGGTTTTATTTTCAGCTGACACTCCATGAAACTTTTCAATTAACTCATCTATTGAAATTTTTAAATACTTTTTTCTAATATCAGTTATAACCTGCAGTTCATAAACTCATAGATTTGCTAATATTTTTTTCTTTTAAATATAGAAATTAACGTGTAAAGTATGTCCAAAGAAAACACTGCCATGTTTGCCCTTGCTCCATTTTCCATTGACACAATAAACTAAATGAACTAAACAATACAATCATGTGTGTGTGTGTGTGTGTGTGTGTGTGTGTGTGTGTTTCAGATATATTACTTTATGCCACAATATTAATCTACTGATCCTGCTGCCTGAGGTTGAGGGTAACTGAAATTCAACACATTTTCAAAAAGTGTAATGGCAAATTTGATTTTTTTTTTGGGTTGATTGGACTCAATATCCAAAATTATTTTATCAGAGCTCTCACCTTATTCAAGACTTCTTAATCAATTAATAATTTAAGTTTGTCAAAGAGATAAGACAGTCATTTTTGATTATTTGTAGTTATTTCCTCAAAAATCACTTAGGGCAATCACGGACCTACTGTTAAAACTATCAGATCTGCGATGCAAAAATCTGGCAGCCTTATTTACAATTGAACCTACCTCTGAGCGAATTAAAATGCGAATACGGTCTAAAAATGGCATAATCATTGCAAAGCCTTTTGGACACTGCTATATAGAGACATATATAACTGGTTGTTGTTATTATCCGGCTTGCCAACCCACCTCCAACTCGGAACCGACTCTATACAGGACTATCAACAACAGGAACAAACCAACCCCTCCGAGTCCTGCAAACAACCGCACCCGAGAATGATCGTGAGCCCCCATCGAATCACTACAGCGGCCGCTCAGGAAAACAGGCACATTGACTCGCGCATGCTCAGTCCGCAGCAACAACGAGCTCGCGAAAAGCTTCTTGGGAGATTGAGTGCTGTTCTTCGTTCCGAATCATGCGGAGAAGGGCTTTAGAGAACTACGACTCCCATGAAAGCATCGGGGTTGGGTGAGCGAGCCTATCCAAAGTGAGGGAGAGGCTCTAAGCTGGGTCCTATAAATCAGTCACCTTTCTGTTCCATCCGGGGCCTGAAGTGACTAATTCGAGTGCAAGCAACAATTGCAAACCCATTAAAAAGGTGAGCGTTCGTGCAACGGTGCTGGTTTCCCGCTCTTTCCGTGATCGTTATAAAAAAGATTGGTGAGCTGGGTTTATTTTCTTCATGCTGGAACGTAGATGTGCAAGCTACACTTCTTGTATTTAAAAAAAGGGGGAAATGGGGGAAACAATAATTGCACAAACACACTCTCACTTTGGGTTTGTATAAAAGGACCAGGGATAAATTACCTATATTTTCTCCCGCTGAGCTTTCTTTTAAATCGGTTTTATTAGTTGGGATAAATTAATGATATATAATTTTTCCACGTGATTCTTAAACATGGAGGTTACAGAGTTACAAGGCTATTAAAAAGAGAGAGACTTCATTTTTATTTATTTTTTTTGCTTTTAATAGAGGAAACAGCAAGTGGAGAGTAGAGAGAGGTATCAAAGCCTGCATTCTTCCAATCGGTTTGTTTTACAAATGCACACCAATTTAAACAAAACCAAAAAAGAGAAAGAGCCCTATCCACTTTCCAGAATTGCCTGTCTCACTGAAGTAATGCCAATCCAAAAAAAGCTGTGTTTGTTAAAGATGTGGCAGCTTATAATTTAAAACAAAGCGTGCACATACAAATGCAAAATATATAACTGAAACAAGTAAATGAAGATGTATTAGTCGAATTGGATTCTATACAGAATAGATATTTAAGCAGAATTGTGAGTTACTTTCTTTGTTCCACATATAATGAAGTCAGCCCATGAACTAATTATAGAATATTGTTGACTTTTAAATGCTATGTTGTCACATTCATGTGGCCAGCCAGGTTGTATTGTATATTGTTGCTGTTTCAATCCATACATTTTCCTTCCTAGTGTTTTTCCACACCAGTGAGAATTGGCTTTTTTTAAAAAAAGAAAGTGTTGATCCATTGGTTGAAACTGACTGCCTCGTTGCCCAAGCCTGACATTGAAGACTAAATATAATGACTGGCCCAAAAGTCACCCAGCAAGGTTTCATATCTATGGCAGAACTAGAACTCAGTCTCTCAGTTCTAGCCCATAAAATTACATATATAATCTAGAGACTGTGTCCATAACTTCTAATATGTGCTCTACATTCCTTACTGGACTAGGAAAACAGGTATGAAAAAAAATTAGTAGTAAGAATATATACTCACTATAAAAAATTGGATGATTTTTTTTACTGAGAGATTTTTCTCATTTGAGCATTTAGTTTCTTTAAAAGAACTATTCAAATCCCATAAAATAGGCTCAATCTAATTTTTTTCATATCAAATACAAGTAGTTCTCAATTTACAACCACAATTGAGCCCGAAATTTCTGGGATATTTGTTAAGTGAGTTTTGCCCCATTTTACAACCTTTCTTGCCACAGTTGTTAAGTGAATCACTGCAGTTGATAAGTTAGTAACCCAGTTGTAAAGTGAATCTTACTTCCCCATTGAGTTTGCTTGTCAGAAGGTTGCAAAAGATGATCGCATGACCTTGGGATACAGCAATGGTCATAACTATGAACCGGTTGCCAAGCATCTGAATTTTGACCACATGATCATGGGGATGCTACAGGTTGTAACTGTGAAGGTTGTAACTGTGAAAAATGCTCATAAGTCACATTTTTCGGTGGTGTTGGTAAATTTAAACGGTTATAAATGAACTGTTGTAAATTGAGGACTACCTGTAATATAACATGTGGGCAATGGATATGGAGATGAAAATGTCAGTTGGGATAGTACTCAGTTCAACAGTTTCCAGAAAATCTACATCTCTGTGGTCAGTAGTGTATAAGAAAAGGTGTATAAAAATGTCATTAGCAAGCTGTATAAGGACTCTTTCATTCCTATCTGTAGGACAATTTTTAGAAGAACAACGAATAATGTACTTCATGGACTTTTTACTGGATAAAATCATCCTTATGATCTATTAAAGGAAATGTAAATTGCACTAAAATCCTTACAGTGTAGTGTCATTTACTGGACATTTAGTCCTCACTTGATGGTACAAATTCAGTGCTACTTACTCCACAGGGCATCTTTTTGTAGATACCTGTGGGAAATATAAGATAATACTGGCAGAGTTTATCACCTATCATTTCATTTTATAGAAGGGAGAGCAAAATATTAGATAGTGCCATAACAGCTTATTATGCTATTAGGCTTAAGCAAGTTGGTATTAAATAAATGACTCAGAGTTGCTGGGAGTCGGACAGGATATATATTTAATATGGTCCAAATCCAGTCAGCTGGATGTTCAAACTGGATTTGGCATTTTTGTCCACCTTCAAGTCCTTCCCAAGGACTTGATTAGGCAGATGTTTGATGGTGTTAATAGGATTGTTGCAGAATGTAAACTGTTCCAATAAAGCTGCCTTTTGCAGTTGATTGATGGTAAATTTGTCAATGCCAATGGCGTTCAAGTGGTGCTCCAGATGTTTTGGGATGGCACTCAAGGCACCTATGATCTTTGCTTTCTTTTGCCATAGGAGTTCTACTTCAATTTGCAGGTCTTTGTATTGTGTGAGTTTCTCCAATTCTTTATCTTCTATTCTGCTGTCCCCGGGTACTGCAGTGTCCACTGTCCAGATTTTTTTGTGTTTCTTATCAACAACTGTTAAGTCTGGGTTGTTGTGTGGCACATGCTTGACTGTATTCTAAAATCCCAGAGTACTGTAACTTCTTCATTTTCTATTAATTTGATTGCTTTGTGGTTTTTACTAATATTAGTGTAAGACCATCCTTGTCAAAACAAATCTTCTTGGACTCCAGTAATTGTTGCGTACATAGAACATAGAGTAATAGACCTCAGAGGTCTTTTAGTACAACCCCTTGCTCAAGCAGGCAACCCTATATCATTTCAGATAAATGGGAATAGAGTGGAATAGGGATAGGATAGGATAGATTGGATTGGATTGGATTGGATTGGATTGGATTGGATTGGATTGGATTGGATTGGATTGGATTGGATTGGATTGGATTGGATTGGATGATTGGATTGGATGATTGGATGGGATGGGATGGGATGGGATGGGATGGGATGGGATGGGATTCTTTACCCAGTCTCTTTTTGAAAGCCTTCAGAAGTTCTGGGTGATCCATCACTGAAGCTATTCCATTGGTTAATTGCTCTCACCGTTAGGAAATTTCTCTTTAGTTCTAGGTTGCTTCTCTCCTTGGTTAATTCCCATCCATCGTTTCTTATCTTGCCTTTTGGTGCTTTGAAAAATAATTTGACTCCCTCGTCTTCGTAGGAGCCCCTCAAATATTGAAACAGAGCTATCATGTCTCCCCTAGTCCTTTTCTTTAGAGTAGACACGCCCAATCCCTGTAACTGTTCTTGGTACGTTTTAACCTTCAACCCCCTAGCCCTATATTCTGAAATATGTCCCTGAAATTTGCAGTGCCAATATATCTGAAGCTGGGGGGAAGCAGTCTAAGGTTTTTTGTTTATGATCTTTGGATATAAGGCAGCCAGATGATATATAAGAATTTATTTTTTAAAATGCAGGAAATTAAGATTAAGACAAGATTAAGAAAAGGAAAACATGATTTTGTTAAAGTTGAATCACCCTTTCCGTAGCTCACTGATTATAAGAAGATTGCTTCTTTTTTCATCAGAACATTTTCGTCCGTGATATATTCTTAATACACTTCGTTTTTCTTAATGACACAACCCATATTCTTGCATCTAAGTGTAACATGCAGAAGCCATAAATGTCTGTGTTTAATTGATAATCTTGTTTTCGGATGTTGTTCATTCTGTCCATGTTGCACCAGGCCATTTTAATAAATTTCTAAAGAGCAAATAAAGTTTCAAAATATTGTTTGTGGATGCCTCTGTTTCCCTCTTTGAGAGGTAATTCTGATGCCAAGAGCTTTGAATTTATGAAGAGTAAACAGGTGCTGCAAACTGCTCTGGGAATTTCCCATTTTCAGCGGTATATAAATCAGAACTGAGTGAATTATTTCCTTCCCATTATGGAACCTGCTTACACGAGAGAGAATTCAGGATGTTTCTGCTCACTTCATGTTTGAAAAAAATTGAACGGCTCCCTAGATAGCTATAGGCATTTCGCATCCTGTGATTTATTTTATTTTAGTTTTGGTTTAATGGACTGGGCAGACTTCTATTATTGTGGTTTGCAGATCATGGCTTGTTGCTCAGCAAACCAATCAATAGTTTAGTGTGATGTAGCTCTAATTGTGCTATGTTAAATGGATGAAGATGACAAATGAAGATGTGTGTGTTAAAACGGCTCAGGTGTGACAGATGAACAAAATCCATACTTTCATTCTGTAAATGGTTATTCCAGAAGTAAAATGATAATTTCTACGGAAAGTGGAAATTGAGCATTATTATAACTTTTATACCCTTCTTCTCCTATGACAGCAATTATTATGGCAAAACTCATTTATCAGATTCAGTTTGCATGGAGCACAAATACTGGTAGGAAAAAAGAAAGTGGTGCTGGCTTATTTTCTGCAAAGTCTTGGGGGAAAAAATTAAAATGAAAATAGTAGTAAATGGATGTAAGCACTGTAACTGCAAAAGAGCTGAATTTTTCCCTTCCCTCTCAACAGCATTTTTCTGTTAGCTCCTTGGCAGGAACTTCTAAATGGAATTCAGTCAGATTTCTATGCCTGGCATAGAGCCCTACCTCCCAAAGTAGACTACGGGCTAATTTGAGTTAGGCCTTAAGCAAGGCTGTGTTCCAAAACCTTTCCTCCTTATCAAAGGCTTGTAAAGCAATTGTAAATATTAATATAAGAGTGCTTCTCTACCCGCCTGAAGGTCCATGGGATCAGATTGAAGTAGTAAGAGTTTCTGTGTCAAATGTTAAGCAAAGCACCAGGTCTGATAGCAAAAAAATCAAAAGGAATCTGATAGCACCTCTTGTAACTAACACATGTTATTAAAAGGCATACTTTTTGTGAGGTGTAACTCACTTCATCAGATAAATAGAGTGGTTTGATTCATGTAGACTTTAAATTAGAATGGGGAGAGGGCAGAGAAGGCCATCTTGACAACTCATGAATGCTTAAACCTTTTAATCAACTGTATTGGTCAGAAAAGATCTGCAGTATTGAAATAATTCTGTTTTCTAAGCTTTATTTTGTCTAATTTGGCTGGTGATTTCTGTCCCCATCTTCTCTTCCAGAAGCTCAAGGTAAGAAGCAGTGTAGTATAGTGGTTAAGGTGTCAAAGTAAGATCAGAAGACCCAGATTCTAGTCCACCCTTAGCCACAGAATTTCACTTGGTAATGTTAGGTATTTCACTAGGTAATGTTGGACTTTCTCAGCCCACTTCAAACTAAGGAAAAAATGGAAAGAAATCTTAAGTGAAAGGTGTGTTATAAAATAATAAGCTAATAATAAGGTGGGTATAGCATTCCTTTGCTGAATTTCCCCTTAACAGTAGATCTAAACTAATCCAGTTAGTTTATATTGCTGAGTGTGGACTTGAACTTGAGTCTCCTGGATCCTAAATCCAGTATCTTTAGTCTTACCAGCTCTCTTTATTCTAAAGTAGCTATTACTCATGTCTTCTGCGCTTAAATTTATTGGCTTACGGATTTGTGAAAGTTTCTGCTGAACAAGAAATATTGTATGTGATGAGAGAGTTTTAATTGTCCAATTGTGAAGGGAAAAAATGAAGGTTAGTGGGAGATAATGATAACAATTTTATGTATGTTTTCATGTTAGCATTTTAAAGCAATTTTGTTATTTCAAAATCTGTATGATTTTTTTTAGCAACTTAAATATTTCTAACATAACACAGATGTTATGTATGATGATGTGATTTTGTTGAAGAAAATTAACTTATGAAATCTCATTTTTTCCTCAACAGAGATCATGGCCATGAAGGAAGTTTCTAGCAACAAATGCTTTGGAGGTTTTCAGAAAGTGTTTGAACATGACAGGTTAATATGCTATTTATTTAAATAATTTTATACTGACTTCTTGTTGGCAAACTGATCACAATGTACATAAACAGACAGACAGATAAAAGGACTTAAACACTGCAGTTGTAAAAGTAGCAATGAAAACATTTGAATAGAAAGACCTGGGATAATAAGAATATGCTTCTTTCAAAATGAAGAGAAGAAGCAAATTTCCCTTGTAAACTGAATTCATCAAAAGGAGAGCACTAACATTATATTTATTTGATTTTCTCCATGACAACCTGTCCATAACCTGTTCTTTTAAGTCTCCCAATGTTGGACTCGTCTTCACTGAGTTTATCCACCTTGCTACTGGTTGTCTTCCTCTTCCCTTCTTTACATAATAGGATAGCTGAGCCTGGTCATTTTGTGCCTTGAGTGGGAATTCTGGGTTAATTTGTTCAAGGATCCATCAGTTTGCTTTCTTGGCTGTCCACAGTATTCTTAAGAATCTTCTCTAATAGCAAAGTTCAAAGTGGTCTTGTCCTGCTTCTTTAAGGTCCAGCATTGTATAAATCCAGATTAATTTAAGTTGCATCTAAGTTCCACTGAAATCTGTGGATCGTAAACTTTTATAACACCAAAGTTCAACTACACTTGAGATTCTATGTACATTTGTCTTGGAAGAAACTGCATTGTGTATAACAGAGATTTATAAAAAAAACTTGCATAAAAGAATGCTGCTAGCCTGAATAGTCTGTTTATAATTAATCTGGGCAAATTTTCTTTTCAAAATGACAGCCGAAATATTGTTTTTTAAAATGTATTGGGACTAGAGCTTCTAAAATAGAGAGCAGCCCTTCTGTAGAAAAAAGAAACCTGGAGTTACCATCTTGACATTTTGGTGGGTCCTGATTAGAGGGAGCTATGTGATTTAGCAAAGATTTCTGTGAATGGAAGGGAGCAAAGAAAGTAATGTTTATCAAATCACTATTTCTTCAACTACTCACTGTTCCAAATGGTCTCTTTGGAACAGATTTGGAACAGAAAGTACAGCGGGGGGAGGGGGGTCAGCAAAAACGCCTCCCTCCCCCCATAAAAAAAATTGGAAACATTCACTGCTTCAAGATTCTTTTGTTAATAGAAGTTGCATTCCAAAAGCATTATGTTTTTTTCTTTTAACCAAGTTTCTTCCTAGCTCTTTTCCTAATAGCTTAATTCTGTCCTTTAAGTTCCACTAGAAATGTGCTTGTCGTCTTTCCAATAATGTTGGCAGTTGTGATATTAAAGGAATAGTTAAATATTATTGTGTTTGTTAATGATATTAATTTATCATTTTTAATCCATCTTTATTTTTTTTTATAAATAACTTAAGGGGCTAAATATACCTAACACTCCTTTTTCCCCTTATTTTCCCCAGAATGACAAGTCTGTGAGGTGGGTTGAGCTAAGAGAGAGGGATTGGCCCAAGGACACCTAGTTGATTTTCATGCCTAAAACAGGATTAGAACTTAAAATCTTTTGCTTTCTAGGCTGATGCCTTAACCCTCACGCACCAAACTGACTCTCTATTAGCAGTTTTATTTTCATACTGCATCATTGGGTTATTAGGCTTTTTGGTGCAAAATGCAATATTCAAAATGTTGGTTAGTTTGAAAAGATACAACATTATTTCTGATTAGGTGTTCCTGCTCTGTTTCCTTTAGTCTTTGTGCTGGAGTGCATCCCATTCCTTTTACATGTGTCAATAATTTAGTTACTTTCTGTCACGTTAGCTGTATAGTCATTCCTACCAAGAATAATACACTAAATGATAAAAACATCTCATTCAACAATAAATTTTTACAAGCTCTAATTTAAATAGATTATTTTGGTTTAGATTAGATTAGATTAGATTAGATTAGATTAGATTAGATTAGATTATTTAGTGCAGCCGTGTCAAACCCGCAGACATGGGCTGTATGCAGTTCTGGATAGCTAGTAATGCTGCCCCACAATATACAATAAAAATATTAAAAATAAAGGAAGTTGTTATTTATATGCATTAACTATATGATATATTTTATATGTGGCCCAAGACAATTCCTCTTCATTCAATGCAGCACAGGCAAGCCAAAAGATTGGACACCCATGATTTAGTGGTTTATTATATATTAATCAGCCCCCAAAGCCAGAGTTCTCTGAGCAAGTTGCAAAACTGCTGAAGCAGTAATAAACAGTCAAGTAAAAACATTAGACTTTTAAAAAATGTTCTGTCTTAACTGCGGTATTGTTCTTAACAGTGTGGAGCTGAAATGTAAAATGAAGTTTGGGATTTATTTACCGCCGAAGGCAGTAACTGAGAAATGTCCTGTGTTGTACTGGCTGTCAGGTGAGTATTTCAAAATTATTTCTGAAAGGTGTATTTATGATGGTTAACATTCAGTTGTTTAGTTAGTGCAACTAAGTCAGGTCTTTAAAGCAGAGTAGCATGGGTCCTTAGGTTACAAATCTTTGTGTGCCTTTTGTATGTGAATCAGTATTGAAGAAGACAGGTTTTCTGTATTGTCAGTTGAGCCTTATTAAGTATTAGGCAGGATTTGACATCTTTCTAATCCTCTGGCTTGTTGAAATAGCAATAGCACTTAGACTTATATACCGTTTCACAGTGCTTTACAGCCCTCTCTAAGCGGTTTACAGAGTCAGTATATTGCCCCCAACAATTTGGGTTCTCATTTTACCAACTTTGGACAAATGGAAATCTGAGTCAACCTTGAGCCAGTGGGAATTGAACTGCAGGCAGCTGACAGGCAGCAGAATTAGCCTGCAATACTGCATTCTAACCACTGTGCCACCACGGCTCAATAGATGTTTATATCTGGGAGACATAGAGATAGAGACACAGAGAGACAGTGAGGTAGAAATAGAGAGGTAGAGAGATAGAAATAGAAATAGAGAGAAGAGGGGGAGAGGGAGGGGGAGAGAGAGAGAGAGAAAGAAAGGAAGGAAGGAAGAAAGGAAGAAAGAAAGAGAAAGAAAGAGAGAGAGAGAAAAAGGAGAGAGAGAAATGAAAGGCATCACTGCTCAAGAGATGCCTTTCCAGCTTTATCTTCCTACTGATCTGTCACATGCTGAAAAGTTCAGGATCTTCCCTAGATCTCTTAGCAAAATGGAACCATGCATCCCATCTGTTTGTAGTATCAAGAAATTAAAGAAAGGCACTTGATTTCACTATTGACCTTCTCTTGCTTCTGCATTGAATGCTACTTCCCAATCTAAATCACTGTACACAATTGAGTATTTATTGGACTGTAGTAGTTCTGATTTGGGGGCTTGGGAGGAGCAAGGGGGGTTATCAGTTTTTTATATTCCTTATTTTAGCTTGCATGAGAATCACTGTGGCGGTTCTGGGAGTTTTATAAATTTATCTCTTATTTGCTTATGATGACTTTAAATTGGCCAGAACCTGGTGATTGGAACAGTATATACAGTGTTTCTCAGCCTTGGGAACTTTAAGATGTGTGGACTTCAACTCCCAGAATTCTTAAAGTTCCCGAAGTTGAGGAACACTGAGTATAAAAATACCTAATTTGATCTGATCGTTGGAGTCTAGAAATCAAATAAGTGATTTATTTTTTTCCCTATGAAGTGAAAATGTGTAGCTTCTATTATTTAGACACAGAGAATACCTTCCTGGTCTGGATTAGTGATAAAGAATGCTTGTTAATATTAAAGTGCTCTTCTCTCTTCTCAGGACTAACATGTACAGAACAAAACTTCATAACCAAAGCTGGTTTCCATCAAGCTGCAGCTGAACATGGCCTTGTTGTAGTCGTTCCAGATACCAGCCCACGTAAGTGGTTTATTAAAGAGCATCAGCTTAATTGGTTTACTCATGGCTTTGATACAGATGCTCTGACTCAAGTAAACTTAAGCCAGGTTGTAAAGTTAGTCCTCAATTTACAACCAACTACTTACCAACTGTTCAGAGTTACAATGGACCTTCCTAGGGGTACTTACAACTTGGTTCCGAAGTTCCAATGACTGCTGTCGTTCATTCCCCTCCCCCCCCCCATGGTCACATGACCACATACCTGATGTTTGTCACCTGTCCTGCATTTATGGCTGCTTGCAACATTCTGTGATCATGTGGGACAGTTTTGCTGAAAACTGGAATTTATTTTCAGTTTTTCAGCAAAACTGGCACCATAGCAAACAATTAGTTCGCTTAAAGACTGCGGCAGTCACTTAACACTTGCTTCAAAGAAGGTCATAATATTGGGTCAGTCATGTGGGTGACCTGCTTTACAACTGGGCAGATTTCATTATGGTTGTAAGGCAAGGACTATCTGCATGTACAAATACGTGTGTAAATAGTACTTACTTTATGTGTTGTAAATCTCATGTTTAGGGTATCTGCCACTACTTTTGAAAATAACTGGTTTAAATTTTCTCAACAGAGAGAGTAGAAATTATTAACTTTCTACCCTGCCTTCCCTGCATTTTGCTCCTGAAATGAGTAGCTTGTCTAGCAAAAAGGGGCTGAACAGCAGATCGCTTTGGGGGATGGGCTTCCTGTGTATAAATGTAGCCAGTTTATCAGTGACTGGATGGCCCTGCTCCATTAAATTTAGCATATTGGGGGGGGGGTGGAGTTGTCTTTCATCAATATGAATGGTAGATAGATTTTGAAAGAGGTCCTGTAGGCATGGTTGCATTCCTATCTTGATATAATGAATATTTTCCCAGTGGGCTCTTTCTGATTACTAGAAATCCAGTTGTAATAAGTTTTTCCAAGAAGTGGTGGTCTTACTGGGAAAAAATGTGCACCCACATTGAATATCTGTCTTTTCTTACAACACAGAAAGCCAGTTTCAGAACTGACTTTCCGCAGCTCAGCAAAGTTTCTGCAAGGATTTTAGAATTACCAGGTAGATTTTTCTGACTAGCAGTTAGTTTCAGAATATAATACTGCTTTTGAGACAGATATTTCCCCCCCAAGCCTTGTGAGTTAGCCCTCATGAAGACAAAGTATCGGCCTCTATTCTGATATTTTGCTAATTGTGGATGTAATGTTGCTTTCCATGGCAGGTGGATGCAATATTCAAGGAGAAGAAGAGAGCTGGGATTTTGGCACTGGAGCCGGTTTTTATGTAGATGCCACAGAAGAATTATGGAAAACAAATTATCGCATGTACTCTTACATAAAAGATGAGGTAATTTGAATTACATTAATCTAAATTAGTGTTTCTTAAAAGTGAGCGATATTGTCCTCTGGAGGACATTTGAATTATTTTGAGTGGCATTGGGTGACTGCTGGGGGGCATTAGTTGACATGAGGCCAAGAGGAGGAGGAGGAGGAGGATTAGGATAATGAAAGCAGAAGATTACACATCACTTATCCATCAAATGCTTATCAAATGTTATGTGCAAAACTGTAAATGTGTACTTTGATTATTATAAATACAGTAGAACCTCTGGTCATGAACGCTTCTGACCACAACCAAATCGGGTTCTAACCAAAAAATTCACATACATTTTTTTCACGGCCGATTTTCCCTTCCACATCATTTTTTTTGCAAGTGCCAAATTTCCAAAATTAGGTTCGGGTCACGACCAAATCAAGTTTGCGACCAAGATTATGGAACGAATGGCCAGAGGTTCTCCTGTATATCAAACTTTAGATGCTTAAAATAGCATCACACTTTGGACTGTTTTGATTGCATGCTGTGAAGCATACGATTGTGCTGGATATTAATGCAACAATATGATTCACATGAGCTGCACGCTTGGTTACACATTGAATATTAAATTATTACTATGATGACTTGTAACTTTATGACTTAACCTATGTATTTGTAATTGTTAGCAAAGAAATAACTTTGCAATAATTTTTTTTTTAAATAATTGCACATCATGCCCACAGGACAGTGGGTGTTATGAAGAATTTAAAACAAGTAAAGGGATAGTGACACCCCCCAAAGTTTGAGAAACAATGATATCAATGAAGAAAAGGGGGTGGGAGAGAGAGAGAGAGAGATCTACCATTACCATAATATAATTACAGACTGTAGTGTTAAGTAAAGATGTGCTACTTCAATTTTCTCTCATCTATTGCAGTCTGATCTTAGACCAGTGTGACTTTCTGTTTACTTCAATGAAAGAAATACAACATATGTTTCATTGAGGATGAAAGGAGTTGCTATGCTTCTTGAATACTCCCTTAATATATTAAGGGCTTCAAAACTACATCCATGATAAATTTACTAATGATGTATTCATCTGTATCTTTAAAAAAAGAGCCTTGTATGCTGTAAACCTGCCAGTTTTAGACACAGTGATTGACAAAGTAAAGAACCATTTATCTTTATGTAGATGAAAATAAATATGTGTTTTCATCTCATGCAGGAGAAAATGTAAGTATGCTGACTTTCTTCTTTGTCTTTGTCTGTTAGTTACCCAATCTGATCAATGCCAATTTCCCAGTTGATTCTGGAAGGATGTCAATTTCAGGCCATTCCATGGGAGGCCATGGGGCTCTCATCTTGGCCCTAAAGAATCCTGGAAAATATAAAGTAAGATTCAAACTACTTAACATGTCAAATTAAATCAAGGAATAATTGATACGTCTGGTTGGTCTGATACCTGATGGGGGAAGGGTTGTTTTGTTTTTACTCTGGTTTTTACTGGATGTTTAACCTCCCTGTGTGCAATAAGCAGCAATGTAGGTTAAATAAATAAATACATACATACATACATACATACATACATACATACATACATATATTCATACATACAATAATCACGACAGGATGAAATGTTGGGAAAATAAAACAATGGGAAAATAAACAGCTATCTTCTGGAAATAATGGCAACTTCATAAATGTTTATTTGAAGAAAAATAATTTCACATTGTAATGCAAGAAATTTGAATCATTAATCACCAATATTTAAACAGTCTGTTTCAGCATTTGCTCCAATCTGCAACCCAATACAGTGTCCATGGGGGAAAAAGGCTTTTAGTGGATATCTAGGATCGAACACAACGAATTGGGAAGTATGTACTGAAAATGTCATCACATATATAATATAGAATAAGTTGCAATTGTTTTAAAAATATCAATCAACTGTTTCTACCATTTCAAAACTAACCCTGCAGAGTCCAGTTGTGATTCCACCAGCAGACAAAGGTATGCAAATCAGCTTTCAGAATTCAAGAACACTTGTATTAGTTTTGTTAATGGATAAAGCATTTTTAGTTCAGATCATTTCAAATCTGAAACTTCCATTCTGAGTTGCAATCAGTTCCCCATCCAGAATTGACTGCTTTGATCATTTGGATGTGTTTTGCGTCCAAAGCAATTCTGTTTCATTTTAGAAATGCTCTTCTTTTTCAGGTACAAGTATTTCCAATTTTGATATGGTTGGAAATAGTTTGTTTGGGAGACAATAGAGGTGTTTTCAGTTTGAAAATATTTGTACACCTGTAGATTTTATTGTTTCTTATTCATCTATTTTTGACTGAGTTATTAATGTTGTAATTATAACTATTGTTTTATAGCTAGCAATTTACAATCTGGATATTGATTTTAAAGCAGCTACTGTCAGAAAAAGATAGATAATTCTTATTTTTTGACACCAGGGAGATGTGAGGTTGGAATACTAGATCCGCCTGTTTAATAATTCTGAGAGATGAATGCCAGGTTGAAAGTATTTTATTCTTCCAGCTGATAGTGGCTGCAAATGAGCTTGTTCCATTCTTGGGACTTCTAAAACAGAAGAGAATTCAAATTATATGTATTACATTGTAGCTAAACGATGCCAAGTGGTTATAAGTCTGTTGCATGAAATTGCCTTTTGTCTGCAGTCTCCCTGTCTTTCTCCCCTTTTTATCTGGCCAGGCTGATGCTATTGTTAGAAGCAAATGCATTTTTTTTCTTATAGGCCTATGATGCCACACACATTGCAAAATCTTATCAAGGCTCTCCTCTGGATATCCTAATAGACCAAGGCAAAGATGATCAGTTCCTTACAGCAGGACAGTTACTACCTGATAATTTCATTGCTGCTTGCACAGAACGGAAAATCCCAGTAGTTTTTAGGTTGCAGCAGGTAATGCTCGAAACTGGTTTGTTTGCATGTAGTGCTTAAATCTTATTTGGAAAGGGACAGATAAGTCATTATTTAATTAAATGAATTTTTAAATGACTACATCAGTTCCTAGGACCTGGGATCTGAAAAGCTAGGTGTTAGAATTGTGTATCATATAGATTTTTCCATCTTACTAAATGTTGAGCTAAAGCATCTAGGAATGTTAGTGGTTAATCAGATTTTTTTTCTGGGCTTTGCTCCTACCCTGGCAAATTCTAGCTTGCTAAGCATCATTTTTTTTCTTCAGCCCATTCATTACCAGTAAAATGAATTACTTTTCCATAAGAAGGAACTCTTTGTTCTGGTTTGTTGCTCCCAAATCAATTAGAAATCATTAAAAAATGTGTGTACTTGGATTATGATTTCTGTGTCTTCCGTGAATTGAATATCAATTCAAATAAAACCTTTTAGAAGGGAGGAGAAAAGTAGGAGAAAAATTAATTACATGTCAGGCACTCGGCTAATTCATAGAAAGTCTTTCAGAATTCCAGTTGCGGTGCAATGTTCAAGGACAGCCATGCCTGATTAGGGTTAGGATTGACACTGCTTTCAGTAATGGCTTTAAAGATTTAAGATGTAATTTTCTGGGTTTGTGATATCAAGCTGCTATGAGGTTAAATACTGTATACAGAGGAGAAAACTAGGGGCGTGGAAGACTTTTCAAATTCAGCAGTTGTTTACAGTTTGAAATGGGTTCTCTAACGTTTTCCAAGGAGTTTTGACTGTTCTGGAACCATTCCAAACTTGGAATGGCTGTTTCAGTTTACAAGTATCTGGAACATTTCCAGAATGACTGGAACAGGATCGGCACGCTTACAGTAATGCTGAAGAGGTGTTTCAGGTTTGAAACACCGTGCACCCAATTGGACATTCATTACGTTTTAAAAGAAATATTAAACATTTATACTACAATCCTATGCTTTCCGTTGAAGCTTGTTTACAACTGGGTATCTATTGTATGAGATTAAAGCCTTAAATTCTTGTTCATTTAAGAAACTCACAAGGAGATGATTTACAATCTTACCATGTGCTTGTGATTCAGCTTTCCTTAGTGGTAGAGAATATCTTCTCCTGCCAGAGTGATAGTTGTAAAGTATCTTATATGCATATGCTTTTGACATTGTTGCTTGGTTTTTTTAAACCATCTGGTCTTTTTCTCTCTTTAGGGCTACGATCACAGTTACTACTTTATCGCAACGTTCATTAATGACCATATCAGGCATCATGCCAAATACCTCAATGCTTGACTGAGTCTCGCCATGGGAACGTCTTGACAGTGAAAAATTTTGAAGTGATCAGTGGAAATAAACAGCAAAGGTTCTGCCTGTGATTAGTATTTCTATAAACTGCAATGAAGTCCTGATTTAATGATTCAAAATAAATATTTTTAACATGCCTGTCTAATTTTGAACCACAAAGCAATAAAGACTGCAACTGTAATACGGATATATAAATGTACACACTTTCTTTCATGTTTATGTCCCCAGGCATATCTCATGGTTGCATCTTACTACAGTATATGTATTTTTGAATGGAAATGACAAAGTGGAAACACTTCAAAACCAGTGTTTTTTTGTTTTTTTTTTAACAGTAAAAGGCCATTACTTTCATTTAGTTGTGGAGAGTTGGCAAGGAACACAATTAAGCACCTTCTGCACATTTGCAGAAGTGCTGGAGTCTTTTTCTGCATATTCTGCCTTTTATACCTTGAGTCCTGATTTTATTGTAGCTTCATGGAAGGGTTTGTTTTGTCAGATGCATAATGGGCAAATTAATAAGAAAATGGTATTTACAGCATCGTATTTTTACTTTATAATCAAAGGAAGCGATGCTAGGATGATCACAAATAACTTGGGTTACCATTTGATTACCATTTGGGTAGCAGTCAAGAAAACTTTGTAAACTCAAATTTAAATTTAGACTCGCAGAAAGTCTGCATAATATATGCGTCTGCAAACAATATTTCCAGAGGTGGTATTCAGCCGGTTCAGACCGGTTCATCCGAACCAGTAGCGGAAATTGCAGGTAGGCCTGCCCACCCACCCCGGCTCTATGCCATTGTATTAAGGAATGTTTTTGAGACTGGGTGCATGTGCAGAAGGCATGTGCACAAGCAATGCACCTGCACGGGAGGCTGGGCACATGCTCAGGAGGCACGCGAGCAAAGCGCATGCATGGGAGGCGCACAAAGCGCATGCGCAGGAGGATGGGCACATACACCGAAGGCATGCGCACAAGCAAAGTGCATGTGCAGGAGGCCAGGTACATGTGTGGAAGGCAGGCACGTGCACGAACCGGGCGTGTGTGCGCACAAAACAAACATGCGTGCAGCGAACCAGTAGTAACAATGTGAAACCCACTGGTGAATATTTCTATAAGCCATGCAAAACTAAGATTTGTGCAAATGTTACATTTCAAAAGCGTCAAGAATAAGAATAAAACGTAATTACGGTCACCGACCAGCAATGGACATACAATAAATTAAAAATAATACTAAGTTTTATTCCTATTCTTGACGCTTTTGAAATGTAACATTTCAAAAGTGTCAAGTACCGCTGGTATCCTCCTTGTATGCTGACCAAAGTATTATCTATTGCCACCTACGTTGCATTTTAAATGCACTGCCACTTAACATTTGTTGATTTAAATAAACTGTTTAGCACAAGAAGCTAGCAGCACAAATGATGAGTAAAATGGCTGTGATTGTGTTGCCTCATACTATACATACAGGATACCCATGATTCTAGATGCCCATTATTTAATTTGTCCTAAAGCAAGGAAAATCATGCTATCAAGCAATATATCAGTGCATAGTGTTTTGTTTTATTACAAGGCAGAATATACAGCAGTAAAAAGTAGCATTATGCCTATCAGATACAGACATATTTATCCCTTTAGTCATATATACAATCTGTCAAATGACATTGTAGATTTGTGCTAAGAAAAAGGATCCCCAAATCCTGAATACTAATTTACATTAAAAGACTTAAAATAATGTTACTCTCTTTTTTATTTTTAATTAAAAGCTGGAAATGGAGCTAGGATTTTCACAATGTTGCTTACAGATGGGCATAGTAATCAAGAGAAGGCCCAGAGTCACCCCAGGAGGGAGATCGGCAGTTTCTAAATATGATATATAAATAACTGAACTTTGAATGTCACAATAATCCCTCCCCCACCAGAAATTTACATTGCCAAATATATATACACTTCTATATCCAAAGCACTGCTTGCTTGCTTTATTCAACTGGTTATTCACTTCTCCTGAATCTCAATTGACTAAATATTAACACCCATCAGGTTGGCACAGCTGACTTGACAAAGGCTGTATAGCAGTCGGGTGAGCAAGCTGAAAATTGATACGGAAGCCTTAGCCCGTAAACATTCCTATAAATGAGGATAAAACGGAAGCCTTTTCCGTACAAGGGTCCCATGCAGCAGTCACAGCCTGTAAAGCTAAAAGGAGGAGAAAGTAGGTCAGTGTCACATACTAGAGAGCAAATTGAAGCAGATCCTTTAAACTTACTACTGAAAGTCTATGCCAGATGTGCGATTCGAACTAAAAGTATGCTGGCATTGCTGCTTGTGTATCAGTTTCCAAGGGCAGCTAAGTACAGAGTATATCGGAGTAAACAACTCTAGAAACCTTCCTGATCAGGATGTAGAACATCTCCAAATTTTCTTTAACCAAGTACAACTGTGGTTTTGTAAGGTTTATACTATTGCAATGCTTTACCCTCCTTAACAGGGTATAATATTATCATGTGATATTACCATGCTCTACCCTCTTTCACAGGTGCAGCTTTCTTTGCATGGTGTTTCCACAAAGCAGGAAGTTTTAGCAAATATGTATTAAATTCCTATCTGCCATTTAGAGGTGAAAAGTCAGTAGGAATCAAATCGGGAAAAAAAGGTATGGCACCTGTCATTTATAATTAATGCTGAACCAGAACCTGTTTGGAATCAAGTACTGCACAAATATCATGCTAAGAATGTACGAACTCACAGATGAGAATTTTAGGTGCCAAATGCACTTGCAAAATTGGGTTCGGCTTCTCCATGGATGGACTTATCTGTGTGAATATATGGTAATATTTTTTTTTAAGTACCCACATACAGTATCCTGTATATTTTTCAATATAAGCCCATCTGTGGATAAGCTAACCCTAGAAATTTTATTCAAAATACCATGAAAACTGCATACCAGCTTACCCATGGGCAGCACATTCTTGGTTAAAAAAACTGAGAGTCAGCTTATCCATGGATGGGTTTTTACAGGGCTTATGCACAAATATAATATTATGCAGTAAATATATGGATACCAAATCTGTTCAAAAGGATTTTCTAAGTGTAACTAATACAAATCTGTAGCAGAAAGAAAAGAAATCTATCAAGGACTGTTAAAATATCCCTGTGCCTCATATTGGGTTTCGGAAGAAGGAATTGGCCTATGATTGCTTATGTCTTATGCCCAAGGAACTGCTGTGGATACACAGTTTGCAATGTCAGCATTGCACACCAAAGAGCAAGACAGAAGGCTTCCATTTTGTCTCTTACAGTATGAAATGAACCAGATACGAAACATCTTGGGTAATCAAATACGAATGCATACAGTCATCTGGTCCACAGACTACTTTATTAACCCATACTAAGATTGTCTTAAGGTCTAATATGCACTTTGAAACATATTGAATACTGTATCTTTAAAGTATGCAAAGATAACGACCCCCAGGGGGGGTCCCTACCCTCTGGAATGAGCTGCCCCCGGAGATTCGTAGGATTCACGACCTTCATACCTTTCGTCGTGCCCTAAAAACATTATTATTCCAACAAGCAGGGCTGGCCTAAATAATAATAACATTTTACTATTTTAATGGATTGTTTTATTAGAGTTCTTTGGCCAATTTATTTAATTTATTTAATTGTTTTAAATTGCTTTTAATTTTTATACTGTCATGGTTTTATTTTTGGCTGTACACCACCCTGAGTCCTTCGGGAGAAGGGTGGTATAGAAATTCAAAATAAATAAATAAAATAAATAAATAAAATCTGAAACTGAGAAGTGAAAGTTATAAAGACCTGAGATCAACTTTCAAGTCACGTCTTCTGATGATAAATAAAATCATGCATTTTAATTTGATGCATTTGATTTTAACTTCAGTTACAGTGTCAGATTGGAACTGGGGAGTCTCAGAGTCATTTCTTTTGTTCATTGAAAAACCTGTGTTTTCTTGGGAATCCAATTGGGAATAAGCCCAATTGGATTCAATAGGTCTAATTTCTGACAGGTTCACATAACCAGCTAAGCAACAATAGAATTTGATTGGTTTGGATTAGCACGTTGCATAAATCCAGCCATTTTTCTTTACAAATCAGCCAGTTCTGGTTTACTCAGTAAACCATGACTAAACTCTGACTAAATATGTTGTGAGAGTCCATTCACAGGAATGCAATCTGAGTAGCTTTGGGGTGGCAAGATAGAATATAAATAAAAATTATTATGATTGATGCTGTTTTTTAGCTTAAGATGGCTATGAAGAGAAAATGAGTGGTAGAGGAAACCATGTGTATAATGCTGAGCTCCTTGGAGGAAAAGTGGAAATAAAAATGACATGAAAACATGTTTGCATTTCAAACATAAATAAATTTGTTTTCATTAGGCCAATTTAAGAAATTCTTATATTATATTTGCTTCACCCATTTACTAAATCCTTCTGTTACCTCAGCCTTATTCAATAAACCATGGCTTAAATAGGTGAGTATCTATAGTCCATTACTTTAGGTAATTATAGTTTATTGCATCACATCAAATGGCTGTCAATGTGGCTCCACCTTGTTACAAACACTTTTTAGAACCTGGTCCTGCTCATTTTGGTACAGACTGGCGGCTGCCTCTGAGGAGACTTTTTTTTGGCCCTGTGATTATTGGTGAGCTTTTTCATTGTCTCCTTTTTGTACTCAACAGAGCCCTTGCAGTGATGGCACCTTACTTGCTTATGATTTCATGAATCTCCTCTGGTAAATGATGATATATTTTCCACAGCTGGTGCTTAACGAAACACAAGGCAGCCATGTCCCTAAGGCACTGAGGTTGCATCAGGAAAGTCTCAGTCCAGAAACAGGCATGCAAGAAGTTGTTTTCTACCAGCAGGTGTTTCAACTGAAGTTTCAGAATCCCACAAGGCAAGGAGTAAAGCAGATTTCCTTCCAAGTTCAGGTAGACAAGGCTTCTGAGAATTTAAAAAACGACACTCCACCGTTTATGCATTCATCAGGTCTATTTGAAGCATAGTTCTCTTGGATGCCCAGGTATGGGGGAACAAAATTATCTTGCCATGGAAATTTTACAGGCAACTGGGAGCTGGCAGAGCCCTTCCTTTCAGCCCACACCAAGGAGCAACTGTTGCCACCTCCACTAGTAGAGGGCTTCCCTCCACACAAAGACAGGAAGTTAAGACTCTCCATTTGACTTTTCTCCTCACACTGTCAAGACAGTGCACAGGAGAAAGTAATCTCTGCCTTCTACCACATTAAATCTATGCATTTCTCTGTCACCAGACACAGTTGACAAGTGCTGGGAAAAGCTACTCGCAACACTCATCAGGAACCATGACAGATGGATAGCTTCTTCCCCATACAGTGAAACGAAGGAAGATTGATTAATTGGTTATGTGCCATCAAGCCATTGTTAAGTCTTAGAGAGCTTATGGATTTTCTCCATGGTAATCTATTCTTAGCCTGATCTTTCAGGTCTTCCCATCAGTGAAAATGGAGAAGGTGGAAGTGAAAAGGGGAGAGACAAATCAGAGTATGTGTCAATCTAGAGATGTGCGAGTCCTGTCCTACTGTTTGCCAACTCTTTTTGCATCCTGTACTTCAGTGTTTTTCAAACTTGGCAACTTTAAAACATATAGATTTCAACTCCCAGAATTCCTCAGTCGGTGTGCTGGCTGGGGAATCCTGGGAATTGAAGTTCAGACATTTTAAAGTTGTCAAATCAGAAATACACTACGTTAATCCTTAAGTGAATTACGGGGGAGTTTAACAGAGCTTCTGTTAAAAACAGAGCATTCTGGCCTCAGCATCAGTGAATGCTTTTCTTAATCTGCCAGAATGCTCTATTTTAACAGCAGCCTGTGCAAAAATTAATATGGTCCCAAGGACTCTGTAGTCATAAATAACTCAAGATAGTCTCATTAAGTCTAAGCAGAATCCTGTGTCCCTTTTGTACATTATTAGTCTTTTCTGAGATAACATATAGGAAGAGAAAAGCTTTGGTTATTAGGCTTCCCACATTTCAGGCAATTCAAGAAAAGCAATGCATCTTACTTATAAAATAGGGGAAATGACATAATTTCCAAACTACAGATTTTAGCTTGTCTAACCATTGTCTATGCTGGTTGGGCCTGTTGGAAACTACCCCAGCAACATCTGGAAGACCAGAAAAGTCCTCCTCAAAACCAGAAAATCAGTACAATACCTGAGATTTTGTATTTCGTTAGGGATATATTCGAGTTCGTTATAAGAAACATCAAGACTCTGAAGATTTGGCAGGGTAAATAGCCTATAAAAACAGAAGGCCTTCCTGTCACTGGTAATCATTGAAAAGCAGGAAAAATCTTGTCAGTCCCATAGCCCTTAAAAGAGTTTGGTCAGAGTTTGTTGAATTTTCCTCAGTGAACTATACCTGTTGTGTGAACAGGTACATTTATCGGGGCATGTTTTTTTCCCCTTTTCATTGTACAGTTAGTTGCCCAGAGTCGTTATGAAGTCAGATGGCCTCTACATTAAATAAAGAAGCAAATATTTGTGGCCCACATCGTGGGCAGCTTATGTCATCACCCGGGTCTTTTTTGAAGTTCTCACAAGGTTCCTAACTGTTTATAAAGCAGAAATATTGTACTGTAGCCATTTTTTGCCTCACCCAGCCTGTTGCCTTCTTCTGGAATTCATTCCTCTTCTGGCCAAAGAATATTTGCAGCAAGTAGAGACGGAATATAAGATCCATCTTACCACCTGAGCATATTTTCTCTAAGTATTGAAAAGAATTAAAAGTATCTTTCTTTAGATTACTAAAATAGCTGTTTTTTAAAAAGTAAATTCACAGCCTTTGTATTGATGTATTGAAAACTAAGGAAACAACTTGTATCAGGGCTTCAATTTTTAATGGAACTGAGGCTCTATGCTTCAGGCCTTTCTCCACTTGTACAAACGTAATTTCTTTTTTCTGCCAGAACCCAATTCTGCCAGCTTCATCTCATCTGCATCCCCATGAGATAGACAGGCTTAAGTCGAAGCTGTGGTGAAAAACCCTAATCAAAGCAGATAGGCTTTTTAAAAAAAAAATAACTGATGATACAATAATTTATGAGAAGTCTGTGCCCCCTTGCCCCCCCTAACTTGGAAGCTTCTTTCCATACATTTCTAATTATTAATTAAAATTATTACATACTCTGTTGGGAGAGTAGTGAGCAGGTTGAAGGACATTGTCAAGAATTTAAGATCCCTCAAATCAGAGATCTCCCCTGGGATGGATTTGATGGGGTTATTTCGGAGCTTTAGCACTTGTAAATATTGCAGATGAATCACCTATAAAAGACAAATTGTGTGTAAAGGGTTAGGAATTGCCATAAAGGCAATATTTTTTTTTAAAAGTGTTAGTAAGTCTGGTTTCTTCATTGATGGGAATTCCTGTTTCATGTTACCTTCCAGCACTTGAATTTAAAACTATGATTACAATACTTTTCCTTCTGATGTTTCCATAGATACAGGGTTATTTCAAAGAAACTTCATTGCAAGGCAATAGTTATGTGGGGGAACACTTCTTCAACTGAGTCAGTTTTTATCTCTCCTTGATGTTGTCATTAGCTACAGGGACAGCTAGATGGCTGTGTTAAACCTCTATTCAACAGGTCTTGAGCTGACAGAGAATTATGTCAGCTGAGCTATCTTCCATTATAGTAAGAAAACCAGCAATTGGGGCTCTTCTTGCAATTTTAAGGCAGCAAAGGAAAGAAATTGGTGGATTGCCCTTTCTTCTATTAGTCTAACTATAGGAGTTTGTCAGCCATGGCTGTTTCCACCAGCTTCTCTTGGACTGGACTCACTTATACCATGCCTCCAAAAATGCATCAGCTATGGAAATCAGCTAGTTTCATGTCTTTCTCCCTTCCTTTCAATGATTGCATATATTTTGCTGATTGTGATATCTCTTTGGTCTATGGCCATTCTGTAGATAGATAGATAGATAGATAGATAGATAGATAGATAGATAGATAGATAGATAGATAGATAGATAGATAGACAGACAGACAGACAGACAGACAGACAGTCAGACAGACATGTCTCTCTCTCTCTCTCTCTCTCTCTCTCTCTCTCTCTCTCTCTCTCTCTCTCTCTCTCTCTATATATATATATATATATATATATATATATATATATATATATAATTTCTCTTTAGCCAGGTTCTTTCTACGTAAACCAAGATTTTTATGCAGCCAATATCTTGGTTTACGTAGGAAGAACCTTGCTAAAGAGAAATACACATAAAGGCCTACGAAAAGAAAAGAAAACATATATATATATATATATATATATATATATATATATATATATATATATATATATATATATATATATATATATAAAAAGACAGACAGATCACTTATGGGTTGGGGCAGAACTGAAGGCTACATCATGAGCTCATGTTACAAAAAATTAGTTACTAGGCTATGTTTCTGCTGTTGTTGGACAAGGAGAGGATGACCCCGACAAATACTTTACTGTTTCCCACAGCAGGGTGAAAAAACCATTTACTTTGCAAAACCCTGAATGTAATACATCTCAGGAAATATATTTCTTAATAATAATTAACCAGAGCTATTTGAACTCAAATCACCCTTCCTTGTCAAACAAGGGCCAAGGTCATAGAGCAATTTGGCTAGTTCCACAGGCAGTAGGATTAATTAATAAATGGGCTACCCTGTTATATAGGGTAGAAATAAAATAATAATAATTATAATAATTATAATTATAATTATAATTATAATTATAATAATTATAATTATAATTATAATTATAATTATTATTATTATTATTATTATTATTATTATTATTATTATTATATGAACACAGACAAAGTCAGAAAATTAATCATATAATTTAAGATCCCTCAAATCAGAGATCTCCCCTGAGATGCCACAAGGGTCGGTCCTCTCGCCTCTCCTGTTCAACATTTATGTGAAGCCGCTGGGCGAGATCATCCGTGGTTTTGGGGTGCAATGCCATCTGTACGCTGATGACACTCAGCTGTACATCTCCACCCCAGACCACCCCAACGATGCCCTTGAAGTGATGTCCCGGTGCCTGGAAGCCGTGCGGGTCTGGATGGGGAGGAACAGGCTCCGACTCAACCCCTCCAAGACTGAGTGGCTGTGGCTGCCGGCATCCCGATATAGTCAGCTGGTGCCATCGCTGACTATTGGGGGCGAGACATTGGCCTCCACGGAGAGGGCGTGTAACTTGGGTGTCCTCCTGGATGCACGGCTGTCTTTAGAAGAGCATATGATGGCCGTGGCCAGGGGGGCTTTCTATCAGGTTCGCCTGATACGCCAGTTGTGCCCCTTTCTGGATCGGGACTCCTTATGCACAGTCACTCATGCCCTCGTCACTTCCCGCCTGGACTACTGCAATGGTCTCTACATGGGGCTCCCCTTGAGGAGCACTCGGAGGCTCCAACTGGTGCAGAATGCGGCCGCGCGGGTACTTATGGGGGCGACATGGCGCTCCCACGTGACACCTCACCTGCACGAGCTGCATTGGCTTCCAGTGGTCTTCCAGGTGCGCTTCAAGGTATTGGTTCTCATCTTCAAAGCGCTCCATGGCTTAGGGCCCGGTTATTTACGAAACCACCTTCTGCCACCAATAACCTCCCACCAACCAATACGCTCCCACAGAGAGGGCCTCCTCAGGGTGCCGTCAGTCAGGCAATGTTGGCTGGTGACCCTCCGGGGAAGAGCCTTCTCTGTGGGGGCACCCGCCCTCTGGAATGAGCTACTCCCAGGGATACGACTGATCCCGGACCTCCGGACCTTCCGCCGGGCCCTGAAGACTTTTTTATTTCAGCAAGCTGGGCTGGGTTAAACATTTTTTAATTGGGAAATTTTATGGGTAAGGGGTTTTTAAATTAGGGAAGCCAAATGATAAATTTAGTTTTGTTTTATAGTATTTTAATGTTTGTATTGTGTGTTTTTAATTTTGGCTGTTCACCGCCCCGAGTCCTTCGGGAGAGGGGGAGGTATAAAAATTTAAAATAAATAAATAAATAAATAAATCACCCTCATTTTTGTTTCCTTGAGTCTGCTGACACAGTTGATGGCAATAACCACATTGGTGGCCCAGTGTTATTCACATAAATGAAGTCAGACACCACCATGTTATAACTTCATAAGGACTGCATGGTGTGGAATGACATAACTGTTGTTTTCTTTTTTTTTCCCTAATAGAGGTTCATAAGGCAGATAGGAATATGGCAATAATTATGATGGCAGATTATGAAGCAAAGATTTAGCTGATAGAATACAATGGAAAGAGTGGATTTTCAGAATGTTGTACGTGATAAAATTACATGTCTTGGCAACAATGGAAAAGGCAGAGCAGAAAAGGAATAAGCTGAAAATAAAGCCAAGGCAAAGATTGTGAGTTATTCAATTGAGTAGGTGGCAAAGTGATTGACATATACTTTAAGAGCAATCATGGAAAGAATTCATAGGTGATGAAAGATTCGGATAGCACAGATAAGAAATCCTGAGCAAAGATGATTATGAGTCAAGGAAATAAATCATTTTTTTTCTCAACCTGATCCCCTATAGCTTTTTTGGATATTGCCAAAGTTCCCCAGTCAATGGTGATATCTGTCTTAGAGGCAATGGGGATAGAATGGAGCAGGTTTTCAAATGTACAGAATTGATTACTTAAAACACTGCACATGCATGCATGCGCACGGCAGCCAGCTGCTCTTCTGAGTTCTGTTGCGTGCACACGCATGCGCCCCAGTTTTGGCATGCCATAGGTTTGCCATCACAGCCATAGGCCTTTTGCTGCTTCATCTCAAACAGTGAAATATATTGGGGCAAAACTGGATCTAAGAAAAAGGAGGCCACAGAATACAGATTTCTGAAAACAAAAAGAAGGTATATGGAAAATATATGGAGGAAAAAACCCTGTGAGAAGCACCATTTGTTCGAAAGTTATGGTATATTTGTGGAGTAGAAATGTAGGTGTCAGGAAAAACAACTAAGTGTAGCTAAGGAAGACTATCAGGCAGCATATTCTGAAAAACATATATGTCAGAATACTATGCAGGAGTGGGCTGCTGGGGGTTCGCAGGGGTTTAGGAGAACCTCTAGCTAAGATTCTATGCAGTTCGGAGAACCCCAAAATCTAAGGTGACCAGACGTCCCGCTTTTGGCGGGACAGTCCCGCTTTTTAGCAATTTGTCCCGCGTCCCGCGGCGTTTCAAAAAAGTCCCGATTTTTCATTCTGCCTCCTCAGTCCCGCTGCCTCTTGAGCCCCAGCTGATGGCTAGAAGAAAAAAAAACTGTTTAAACTCTTGCCCGGGGCTTCAAAGGGCCGCCCTACAGGCAATCAGTGTAAAGAGTTCCTGAAGCAGTTTTTTTTTCCCCTAGCTAAGCTGCAGAAACGAAACCGAAACCAGGATCTTTGGTGGAACGTGACAAAATGAGGCAGAGAGAGATTTATTTTTATTTTTATTTTTCGTCCCCAAAAAAGGTAGGTGAAAAACTGCAAACAATGGGAAATTTAGGAGGAGAGTTCAAGATTTTAAAACACAAAAGAAAAAAAAGCTGTATTTAACTAGGGAATTGTAATAATTGAATTGAGATACTATTAATTGTATATTGTGTTGAAAGCAGAAATGTTTAAGTTGTGGTTCAGAGGAATATATGGGGGAAATTATTTGGTTTATTATTATTGGTAAATATAATTAATTGATTTGTAAGAAATTGGATTGCATGGAAATAATTGGAATATTCATGTTCATATTGATTAATATACAAAAAAGATAGTTTTATAACTAATTGATTTATATTAAAATGTTGAATTTGTATTAAACAACTGTATTACATAATTAAACAATGTGAGGATGGATATAAAAATAGATGACAATGGGAAGGGGTATAATATAGAATAGAAGGGAAAAATTGAATTTGATTAAGATTAGAGATGAGGATGAAGGGTAATATTGTTTTTTAAAAAAAATAGATGAGGAATAAATATGGCAAAAAGGAAATATAGAAATTGTAAATTAAATTGAAATGACTAAACACTGTTTAAATTTGTGAACTGGCCAAATACTCTGTTCAAAGAAAATACATTGTATGTTTGTATGTGTGTTTCTAATTATTGCTATTTATTCATATTTGTTCTCTTTTATTCTTTAAAGTTTAACAATTCATTCTTTATCTTAATATCTTTATATTTGTTTGGGGTTGGCTTTCTTCCCTTTCATCTTTTTTATTGTACAGCAATCTTTCTCCTCAAACCTACCACCTCTCTCTTTTCTTTCCTTCTTACTTTCTCTTCCTCACCCTCTTCTTCTCCTCCCTACTTCCTCTTCCTTTCTCCTTCTCCTCTCTTCCTCCCCCTCTTACCCTCACTCCTACTCTAATTTCCCTTCCCTTCCTTCATCCCTCTCTATTGCTGTATCCTTTTATGCATATGGACTACTCAGAGGGCTGAAAAAGTTATTTTTGACTGGTCCTCGCACTTTTGACCAGTCATCGAACTTACGACTGTCTTCACATTTTATGTTTTTTGCCCTATCTTATCACCATGGTGAAGAGAAGCAGTTGTGAAATGAGTGACATGGTTGTTAAGGATGCTGCATGGGCATAAATGTGAGGATGGTCATAAGTGTGAGGACCAGTCAAAAGTGCGAGGACCTGTCAGAAATGACTTTTTTCAGCCCTCTGGTTAGTCCTTTTGTGCATATGGACTACTCAGAGGGCTGAAAAAGTTATTTTTGATTGATCCTCGCACTTTTGTCCAGTCCTCAAACTTACGACTGTCCTCACATTTTACATTTTTGCCCTATCTTGTCATCATGGTGAAGAGAAGCAGTTGTGAAATGAGTGACATGGTTGTTAAGAATGCTGCACGGGCATAAATGTGAGGATGGTCATAAGTGTGAGGACCAGTCAAAAGTGTGAGGACCTGTCAGAAATGACTTTTCAGCCCTCTGAGTAGTCCCTATACACATAGCCATGGCCACCCAGTCACATGACCAGCTAGCCACGCCCACCCAGTCACATGGCCTCCAAGCCACGCCCACACAATAAGTCACGCCCACAATGGTGTCCTTCTTACCAATGTTAAAATCTGTTCACCTTACCCTATACACATAGCCATGGCCACCCGGTCACATGACCAGCTAGCCACGCCCACAAAATAAGCCACACCCACAATGTCCCTCTTTACCAATGTTAAAATCTGGTCACCTTACCCAAATCCCAAATCCTGGCTGGTCCCTCCTACCCCACCCCGCTCCTCCCAGGAGTCCCCACACGGCCCATTTTGGATGCAGGTAAGTACAGGGCATGCATGGAGGCCCGGGGAGGGCAAAGAACAGGTCTACCGGAAGTTCGGGAAGTTCAGAACAATTTCCGGCCTCCAGAGGGCCTCTGAAGCCTGGAGAAGCCGTTTTCACCCTCAGAGGCTCAAGGAAAGCCTCCAGAGCCCGGGGAGGGCAAAAAGCTCCCCCTCACCGTGGTGCAGGAGGCCTAGCCACGCCCACCGTGGCTACGCCCACCCATCAACTGAGCAGAGAACCCCTTGCTAAAATTTTTGAAGCCCACCCCTGACCCAGACAGTCCTAAAAACATAGGCTGAAAAGACTGAGGACAATTCTCCATGACAAGCTTAAGTTGCTTATTTCCTGGGCAATAAAGTTAGTTTTAGAAATCATTCTCTGGATTTTAATCTTTGGCACTGATCTGGACTACGGACTTGGTCTGGATGTGGTCTAGCAGTCCACAGGTCCTTACTGGTAGATTCCTCTGCTTCTTTACCATGTCACTGACATACTAGGAAAGCAAAGGCTTTCCTTGCATCGCTAGGCCTCTGAGGACATAGTTTCTATATGAGGAAACAATATGGAAGCACAAAGTTGAAAAGGACCGTAGAGGTTTTGTAGTTTGTCATCCTGCTCAGGGCAGAAGATGGCTTACTCACAATGATCTTTCCTCAGCCATATGGCATGGCTGGAGGGCAAGTTGGGAAAGTTAAATTGGAATATATAGTAGTTATGCTTTCTCAGTGAGCTATTAAGATGCAGCAGTAAAGACATTAGAGTGGAACTGGAGATTCTCAGGTTCAAATCTTACATCAGCATAGTGCACACTCTCTTTGAAGTATATCATTTAGCTCCATCTATCTCAGAGAGAGTGGATCTTTTGGAAATAAAGTGAGGGGGAAATTCCATGTATACCATTTAAGCTAATAGAAGAAACTCATATAAAAACATACAGTGAAATAATTATTCAATGTGTGGTTATGATCAATTAAAACCTTGATAGTACAGGGGTTTAGTGCACCCTGTAATTAACACAGCTGCCTGCAATTTCTGCTGGTTCGAATCTCTCCAAGGCTCAAGGTTGACTCAGCCTTCCATCCTTTCTAAGGTAGGTGAAATGAGGACCCAGTTTGTGGGGGCAATAAGCTGACTTTGTATAAAATATACAAAAGAATGAAGGCTATTGCTTAACGCATTGTAAGCCGCCCTGAGTCTCCGGAGAAGGGCGGCATATAAATCAAATTAAAAAAAAAACAAAAAACCAAAGAAACTTTGTGTATCGGCAGTTAAACCACTGAGCAGTAATTTCTAAACATCTAGCAAATCAGTGAGGAATATATATCATAAGGCCACAGTCATGTTTATGGAGTATATAAACAAAAGCTTCTCTAAGATATATTTTTTTAAAAGTACGTATTACACTCACCTCTAATGGAAAGCAATCCAAATTATTATATGACAAGTTTAGGTACAACAAGAAATCAGACAAAGGCAAGAGGTCAGGAAGCTGAGAGAGAAAATGTGCCTAAAGATTATCAAGCAAAAAAAATAATAATCAAATTAATGTTTATTTTTAAAAAGAATAGGGATTTGTCAGAATTTAGACTTCAAGATTTGAATATATGTATATAAAGATACATCAACAGAACCTGTTTCCTAAATTAGATGGTGCAGTTTCAGGGAATTTGTTGATTACCAGTCCCAATTAATTTTGTGTGTGTGTGTTTAAATCAGTCTTGACTCCTGGTGTCTATTTGACAAGATTTTAGAAGTGGTTTGCCATTGTTTTCTTCCTAGAGCTGAAAGAGAGTGACTAGCTCAAGGTCACTCAAGAGAGTGACTGGCTCAAAACAGCTGGTTTTGTGTCTAAGGTGGGACTGGAACTCAGAATGTCCCAGTTTCTAGTGTGGTACCTTAACCACTGCATCAAACTGGCTTTGTATTGAAGCTAAATGTGTGGGAGATCTGGAATTATAACCACCTATCACCACACTTGTTTAACAGCACCTTGAACAATAAAATGGTTATCAGAGAAAAAAATATTTCATCATTTCCTCTCATTAATCAACCAGACACAGCTACTACTACTAATAGGACTGTGAGTAGCATGCATGTTTGAGAGAAAGAAAGGGATACAAATCTAATCTGCAAACTCATCTATTACTTATAAAAATACAAATTTTGCATATCTCTCTCCTGCCATGTAATGATTGTCTGGCTTTTTGGAGCCCAGATATGCCCCCCCCCTTGCCATTTTATGTTATATATAAACAAGGCCCTATGATTTATTCAATGAATTGTGATTTGAAGGGGAAAAAAGAGGTTGCCTGCCACACACACCTTTTCATGTGAACACACTAAAGCATCCTGTGGTTCCGTGACTGTAATTTGCAACATCTTTTGCCAGTTTCTGGTGATTTTTTTTGTCGCTTTCCAACAAAAAAAATCCCCATTTGGGAGAACGGGTCTACTTAATAACCGTGCGTGGGTTTTTTTTAACAACCACAGTGACTTGCTTTATGACTATTGTAAAAAATGGTCATGAAATCAAATGAAATCAGGTCACATGGTGACGTGCTTAATGACTGCAACAACTTACAACCAAAACTGCAGGCTCAATTGAGGTCATTAAGTGAGGACTACCTGTAGAACATTTATGTACTATAAGTCATCTCCCACAAAACCTGCCAGACGCTTGCTTGAGGCTTAGTCCTTCTTCTGGACTAGATGGCATTATTTTGGAACTGTAGAAGCCAGAATAGAAAGCCACAATAAACTTTGCTTTTAAATTCTGGTTTCCATAACTCCAAATCCCAGTTAGGGACTGGAAAGTACACATTATATCTCAGGAAGCCTCCATATGTGGTTAACAAGCCAAGGATGACAAGAAGGAAGTAGATAATAGCATCTATGACTATCAACTCTTTATAATGATTATTTTCTTCCCGTGCCATCACTCTATTGAACATGTAATTCCCACTGTCTCATTTCTCAACTCTTCTCATCTTTCCTACTATCTTCTCCTATTGGTTTCTTATAGTTTATCAATTGTTGTTTGTAACTTATGATTATTGATTGTAATTATGGTTTATGATCTATTACTTGCTATTTATATATATACTGAGATCTTATGCACTAGACTAGAGACAAATTCCTTGTATATCCGATCACACTTGGCTAATAAAGAATTCTATTCTAAATGATAGATGACAGACAGACAGGCAGATAGATAATCTTTACTATGGCTTATTGTGTCATGTAAATGAAGCCATTGTGTCGTACATGATAGTGTTGGATTTTTAAAGGGAGAGTCCAAAGTTCAATTCTTGCTCATCTATTAAGATCAGAAGGCAATTGTGTGCAGCCTAACTTTCCATGAAGATTTTTGAGGCAATAAATGGAAATTTCATCGGAAAACATTGTGTCTTATGAAAATGGACAGAAAGTGTGCATATGAAAGGATTATATTATATAAAAATTAATATATGCCCTTACAAAATGGCATATTTATTTAATAGCCATATGCAAAATCTATTTTGTGTTCCTACAGAGTATTCTGCACTAGCAATTCTAGACACGATCTGGTGTTTTTTGGAAAAGAAAGTGATAGTAGCAATTCCAGTTATTACCAGATCCTAAAACTAGTATAGAAAATACATTTACAAGACAGTATACTTGTCTGTTTGGGACTATACCTTAAGACTAAGTCCAGTTTTTCTATGCATGATGCAAAACAGAACTGCCATTTCAGCCTTCTCTAGCAATTCATTAGTCTTATCTATTGCACTTAATTCAGTATTGTATCCAGCTCCAGAGACAAATGATTTAATAAAATCCATTTCTTCTTTTAATTCTGCAATAAACATAACAAAGAGTATTAGGCAATTCATATATAATAGGCAAGGAGGGAAGACATATAGTCCTTGACTTACGATCATTTGGATTGTTCGAAGTTATAATGGTGCTTAAAAAAGTGACTTATGCCCAATCTTCATACTTATAACTCTTGTTGTACAAATCTATTTATTGGATTGCTAAGAGCTGACACTGACTGAGTTGATGGCACATAATGAATCATCAGTTCTTGCGAAACATGAGCTTCTGATATTGTTGGTGATGCATTCATGAAGCAACATCATCCTGGATTTGTAAACATTTTCTTGCTCACTGGACGAATTATTTGCCACTCTCTCGATGTTACATTTCAATTCTGTCCAGTCTAGTCCAGTCTAGTCTTTGAACGGAACTCATGATGACATAGCATTCATGGTAAAGAGAAGGCTTTACAGGCTATAAACTGATGGCTTTATAAATATACCCTCCCTTGCAACTCTCCCAGGTAACCATATGCTGTGGCTTCACAAGGCTTGCTAACAGACCACCCTAGTGAATAGAAATGTTTTTAGGCCTTTGCAGTTGTAAATGATCTAATTAAGGGACATCAAACTTATTTATTCAGGCAGGAAAGGTTTAGCAATATCCATGATAGGGAGTAGAGTCGACTATGAACTGTATCACTTGCTTTCTTCAGTAAAACAGTGCAGGGAAAAGAGAATGAAATAGGGATTATATATTACATTTGGAATGGGAGCAGATGGGAGAATGTATGCTGGGAAGAAGGAGGAGGAGGAGGAGGGGGGGGGAAGAAGAAGGAGAAGGAGAAGGAGGAGGAGAAGAAGAAGAAGAAGAAGAAGAAATAATAATAATAATAATAATAATAATACAGACAACAGAAATGGGCCAGAAATTATCCTATTTATTTCCTCAACAGTGCTACACATACTTCTCTTTTGGGATATCTCAGCAAACATTGCTTTATCATACAAAATATAATGTATGATATGAAAGAAAGAAGGGGTGTAAACCAATAGTGGGTTTCAATTTCATTCACTACCGGTTTGCCTGTGGGTGCGCACACAGAGCCTCCCGCCGCTGAACCAGTAGCAACCCACCACTGGTGTAAACCATTGAGAAACTAAGGAGTCAGCTGTGCACATTGTCCTGAATTCAATGTATTATTAATTCTAAGAATAAATTTAGCATAATTGGTGAATGTAGCTGTGGTGGTTTTTAAATAATGTTTTATGATTTTGTAATCTAGGCAATTAAGGCTTATTCAATAAACCATGGTTACAATCAAGTAGTTGCATAATGCAATGTATAAATCAGTCAATGTGCTTATGTTTAGTGATATGAAAGAGTGGGTTTAAGCATGGATCTACATTTGGCTGGTTAGTACACCCTTCCAAGTCACTTCCACTACAGGTTATAAAAAAAAGTTATACCATCATAGAGCATGCTCTGTTTTCTCATACCCCTTTCCATATCCAGCATGATCTGTTCTTTATCCTGCATGATCTGCTCCTTCTCTTGCATGATCTGTTCCTTATCCAACATGATCAGTTCCTCATCATGCATGATCTGTTCTTCATCCCACATTCTCTTTTGACTTCTTTTGCTCCTTTGACTTTTTTCTGAAAAATATGATCCATCTAACCATGGTTGGTTCATTCATAAAGAAGAGAAATCCTTGCAACCTTTGTCTCTGCCATTCACAGTAAAAACCCAAATAAGTGAGTACAGTATAAGGAATTTAAAAATAGGTTTGCTACGCAAGATACATTCAGGGAATGTATTGCTGTGTGGTATCCTCCTATGCTTGGAACTGCTTGTGCTTCAAATTATCAAGAAAGAAACAAATATTTTATATTGGCATCTGAGAGATTACTGTTATGCCTAACAGTACTGTGTTTGCTGTAGTCAATTTAAATATGGTTTACTTATAACTCAACAGAAGTCATGCAGCCCAGGAAGGCTGGGATATATTTCCTTTAATTAGTTCTTGAATGTATCATATTTTTACCATTTTAGGAAGTAGTATATCCCATGTGTTTTACAAATGAGATTTACAACAAAATGCTGTGTTTGTGCCTTGTAATAGGAGTGCTTTTGTTTAAGTCCCAACTAGACTAGAGCAAAATCCCATATATACTAAGTTGAGGAAAGAAAGAATTTCTCCTAATGTCTTCAGCCTTTCATCCACCCACTTTGTCCTATGACAATTCAGAGTTCACATAAGAATATTATTAGAATCCCAAACCCGAGTTCTATTCCCTTCCCACTCATAGAAACTCCTTGGTTGACTTTGAGCCACGGGTGAGCTCCTGTGAGTTCGGCAGGGTTCGGGCGATCCTCTAGCCAAGGATCACCAGGGTTCAGCGAACCCCCAAATGCCACCCCTGGCTGGCCATGCCCACCCCACCCCTCCCCTCCCCTCCCAGGAGTCACCATGTAGCCTATTCATCATTCCAGGTAAGTGCAGGGGCTGCGTGGAGGGTCTGGGAGGGCAAAACCCGGGCCTACCGGAGGTTCAGGAAGTCCGGAAACGGACCTCCGGACTCTGGGGGGAAGCTGTTTTCACCCTCCTGGAGGCTGGAGAAAGCCTCCAAAGCCTGGGGAAGGCGAACCCCCCACCCCGTGCCGTGGTGCAGGCAGCCGACTAGGCCACGCCCACCAGGGCCGGATTTAGATGAAAAGAGGCCCTAGGCTATTCCACTTATGAGGCCCTTTCACCTATAGTGAAAGTGTAATTTTAATTTTGCTAACAATTTGAATGTAGGGAATGTAGGCCCCTCTTGATCTTGAGGCCCTAGGCTGAAGCCTAGTTAGCCTATAGGAAAATCCGGCCCTGACGCCCACCCATGTCCACGCCCACCCAGCAATGGGGCAGCGAACCCATTGCTAAAGGATCTGAAGCCCACCCCTGCTTTGAGCCAGTTATTCAACCAATACTATTTCATATGTTTGCTTCTGAATAGATAAAATGAAAAGAGACCGCCACTCCTCCCCTTTCTTCTCTAAAACAAACCCAAATTTGGGAAATGGAAGGACAATACCTGGACTTTCCAGTGTTCTATCAGACTCCCTCAGTTTTAAATATATGGTGGAAACTTTCTCTGGACCTTTCATCTGTTTAGCAATCAGCCGGTTACTGAAGACTTCACAATTATAATGAGAAATGAATGGCTTTTTAGGGACAGATTTCTGGATTACAGAACGGAGAGGAGAGGTTACCATAGTCACACCGCTCACCACAAAATCTGATGGTAAGTGAAATGGGTGTAGCGTAAGATGCTGTAACCGCATAGGGGCACGACGGTTTTGCATTGGGAAGCTAGGAGGACCAGTCAAAAAGACAGGGATAACGAAATCTCTCTTAACAGGGCCTGGAAGCTGGGCACCAAAATCATCATCTGGAAAGCACAAAGAAATTGGCTGGCTTTTTTCAGGCTGGCTGTCAACACCTTCAAGCACTTTTTCGGGTTCTTTCTCTTTTTCACGAACGCCTGTTTTGTAGAAACAAAGATGACAGATGCCAAAAATAAAACAACACAACATCAGAATTAGATAACTGCAAGCTGAATGTATATTTGCTATGTATCTGTAAACTTTATCACTAAAATAAAAATGTATTAATTTGACATGTATTATGCAGGACAAAATTGCTGGCTCCAGTCATTATATTCACATGTATGTATTCTCACACCAGCATCCAGCAAAAGATGATAAATAACAGCCCATTGGCAATTGCTCCTGAAGTAGAAGAAATGGGGCAGTACAGGAAGTCCCTTGACTTATAACCATTCATTTAGTGACTCTTCAAAGATTCAACAGCAGTGAAAAAAGTGACTTATAACCATTTTTCACACTTACGACCATTGCAGCATCCCCATTGTAACATAATCAAAATTCAGAAGCTTGGCAACTGGTTCATATTTATGACGGTTGCAGTGTTCTGGGGTCACATGATCATTTTTTCTGGCCTTCTGAGAAGCAAAGTCAATGGGGAGGCCAGATTCACTTAACAACCATGTTACTAATTTAACAACTGCAGTGATTCACTTAATAACCGTTTATAGGAATTTCAGAATTGCATCACACTGCATCACAAAAATATCTGCTTCTGTGCTCTGATGTGGGTTGAAACCAGTGGTGGTATTCAGCCGGTTCTATCCAGTTCGGGCAAACTGGTAGCAGTGGTGGGTGGCTCTGCCCACCCTCCCGGACATAATCATGTCCCATTTATCCACATTTTTGACTCTGCGCATGTGCAGAAGGCCCTGCGAACTGCTAGCAAAGGTAAATGAATACCACCCCTGGTTGAAACATTCCTGAAACCTGGATAGTGTTGAATCAGTACACTGTAAATATCTCCCCACCTTATGCTGTCTTGCATGGTAGACTCTAGATTAGAGGTTTTAGCCTGAAGAGAATAATGTGAAGAGGGTAAAACTGGGCTTTGTTGAAATTCTGGCATGTTAAAAATAAAAGTGGTACCAACTTTGCTGTTAGCAGGAAATGCTCTACCTTTCTAAAAGTGTGATAATCCAAGGACCCCTGGGGCACCCCAAGACTCGCTCAGAGATCCACAAAATAAAAAAATATTTGCCAGATATTGAAGACATTTTCAAAAATGTAAGACAGTGTCATTCTTGTCATTATTTTTTACCTGTTAAAATAATTATTTCATGAAAAGTATTTTATTTTTCTTGACGTATAATGAATTTAATATTGTTAGTTTTAGATAATTCAATAAATACATATTCTACAAGAGTGTCAATTTCAATTTTTAAAATATTGATAAATGTATTTATTTATTTATTAACTATATTTGCCGCCCATCTTGCCATGGGGCTATTAAAACGATAGAAATATAAAAATGTAAATATTAACAATAATAAAACAATTAAACAATAAAAATAACAGTAAAAGTAAAAGTACAGCAATATGATTAAAAGATGGGTGGAGATAAATACAATCCATTCAAGCAAAAACTCTTTTGGGAGTCCTCCATAATTTTTAAAAGAGGGAAAGTATCATGAGAACAAAAAAAAAATTAGGAAACACTGCTCTACATTTACTTTACAAGCTTTACAAGCTTTTTCTGTAAAGGGCCTTCTTTTATCTCCACAGGCACACCTGGCAGATCTGTGTATAAACCAGATTTTTGCTCTTTAGCAGATATTTGCTGTAGATAAGAAAAAACTGTTGCAGGTTTATTGATTTAGAGAAAATGTCTAATACAATTATTTATGAAACTCCATTTATGAAATTTATTCGCCACCCATGTCGTATCCAATGATTTTTATTATGACACTCAATAAATCAAGTAAGTATGCAATGTTTCACACCAGTATGATAAGAGTGATATACTGTTCATGGAAATAAAGCATGCATGAGAATAAATGGAAAGCTTGGTGAAAGAGTCAACAGAGACAAGAATGAGATGAGTACCGTGATTCCCCGAAAATAAGACCCTGTCTTATATTTTTTTGAACTCTGAAATAAGCGCTTGGCCTTATTGCCAGGTGCTCAAAAGCCTGATTATCAGGGGATGTCTTATTTTGGGGTAAACAGGGTATGTGTGAAGTTCTCTTGTCGTTTAGTTTATTCATGAATAAATAAATGTATGATTGTGATGATGGGGATGTGAATCTATGTATGTTTTTAGATAATGCTGCCTTATTTACCAAGAACAGAAAGACTTGCAGAGAATGTTAGTTAGAAAATATGATGCAAAGAGCAGATGGATTTGAAAATTAAATATGAGAGACAAGGTCATTGGGTTAGACATGGAAAATGATAATATATAAATGGTGAAAAAGTAGAGAAAAAGATGATACATTCATATACTGTAATTCATAATGTTTACTAAAGAAGAGAGAATAAATAGATATATCTGAAGATCTGGAAATGCTGGTATAAAGGGAATAGATAGTATGTGATTAGGGGATGAAGGTCATTCTCTGATTTGTGGGTTGGTTTCCAGATGTTTTGTTACCAGGCTAGGTAACATCTTTAGCAGAGTTTAGGGGATGTCAGTGTCATTGTTCTTCTATTTATAAGGGCTTCAGCTATGGGTGTGTCAAATGAGGGTCTTGTGATGGGTCTTGTGATGGGTCAGCTGTGAGTCATCAGGGAGAGTCTTGTGATGGGTCTTGTGATAAGGAGGTTACATCAGGTCAGGGTCATTGGGAGGTGGGGGGTTGCATGGGTAGGTTGAGGGTCGGTGCTGTCTCTGATTGGTTGTGCAGTTGGTTGAATTCTGAGGGGTTTGTAGGCTGATTGTAGGTCAGTGTGTCTGTTGATGGATCCACACTGACATCCCCTAAACCAGGGGTCCTCAAACTATGCCCCCCAGGCCGGATATGGCCCGCCAAAGCAATTTATCCGGCCGCACTCCTTGGCAGATGACGGGTTTGCAGTGGGCCGATCTAGTGCCCGGAGCTGGCTCTGCCCTAAGGAGGCTGGTGGCATCATTGGGGCTCCTGTGAAGAGGGGCTCAGCCCTGGTCCCCGTGCGGCGCTGTCATGATCCACGAGCTGCTGCTGGCACTGCATGGCTACCCGGGAGGCTTCTTCATGGGTGGTAGCCTGCAGTTGGGCATGCTGGTGGCCCTCCCTCCCTCCATGGGCCTGGCCCAGTGCCCTTCCTCCTCCTCCTCCTCCTCCTCCTCTCCCGCAGGTGTCCCCGGAGCCACCACCATTCCTGCACCCGAGTGAGGCTGCCCTCCTGGCCCACGTCTGCTGCCTGGATGCATTCTACATCCACCTGCCCAAGTTCATCAAGCAGTTTGCTGAGCATGCCCTGCCGCCATCTGCCACCCTGCCCCAGGTGCGCCCTTCCCGGCCTGCGTGGTGGACTGTAATACCAGGTGAGCCCAGAGACACACAGAGAAAGGGATGGATGGGCGACTGGGTATGCAGCTGACACTTGGCTTCCAGTACCAGAAAAGATGGGGAAGGGCTGGGCTGCCGCTGCCTTTCATTGGGTCACATGGAGCGAGACAGGGCTCCTCTTGCCGTCTCTTCTCCGCCCCTTCATCGGGCATGGCAGGGTTTCCTGTCCCTCACTTATCCCCCCATCCCCCTTTATCGATGCAATTTGGGGGTGGCAGGTATGGAGGGAGGGGGAGGAAGGTTATTCCCTACTCCTGGGCTGACTGGCTTCTTCTTCCCGGCAGCTCTTTCTCTGCCTTTCAGCATCGGCCGTCAAAGATGAGTTTTTTGTGGGCAGAAGAGCTTGTCCCACCCACCGCCATCCAGATGCCTTTGGTTCCCCCAAGCATTTCTTTGCCTCCCTGATTTCCAGCTCCATCACATTTCTCACTGTCATGTGCAGGGAAACAAAAGTTTGTGGGACTAAAAACAAAAGTTCAGTCAATCAATTCCAACTTCTTGTGGAAAAAAAAAAAGATCTTGCGAAGTTAGAATTGATTGATTGAACATTTTTTAATCCCACAAACTTTTGTTTCCCTCACACGATGACGAGAAATGCGACAGAGAAACATGACGAAGCTGGAAATCAGGGAGGCAAAGAAATGCTTGAGGGAAGCAAGGGCATTTGGGTGGTGGTGGGACAAGCTCTTCTGCCCACAAAAACCTCATCTTTGATGGCCGACGCCAAAAGGCAGAGGAAGAACTGCTGGGAAGAAGAAGCCAGTCAGCCCAGGAAAAGAAGCCATTCAACCCTAACCCTCTCTTTTCCCTGCTCCTCCTCCTTCCCTTGTGCTGGATGCTCCATTGCCAGTTTCTCCATTGCAGCGCAGCGCCCAGGATCCACTTTGATAGTGGGGTGTGTGTTAATAATTTGCCTGGCCAAACTAACCCCGCAGTCTCCCTTACATTGGGCCCAGCTTCGATTGTGCTGTCAACTTAATTTCTCACCCCACTTACTTTTGCCCGCAGACTGACCAAAGGTGGGTTTCAGCAGGTTCTGAGCAGTTTTGGAGAATCGATAGTGGAAGTTTTGAGTAGCTTGGAGAGCCGGTAGTAAAAATTCTGACTGGCCCCGCCCCCGTCTATTCTCTGCCTCCTGAGTCCCAGCTGATCTGGAGGAAATGGGGATTTTGCACTAACTTTCCCCTGGATTGGGGAGGGAATGGAAATTTTACAGTATCCTTCCCCTGGAGTTGGGTGGGAATGGAGATTTTACAGTATCCTTCCCATGCCATGCCTACCAAGCCACACCCACAGAACTGGTAGTAAAAAAATTTGAAACCCACCACTGCAACACTCCCTGCACACAGCTCCATGGGGAGGGGGCGAATTCCTCCACTTCCCTCCAATTCTTCTTCAATTCTTCCCACGAGCTCTCGGGAGCATCAACTCCTTGTCTCTATGGTAACCCCTCCTCCTCATTCCTTGGAAACCTCGGCTCTTAAAGGAGCCATGTCCAGAAGGCTGAAACAGCCGCGAGACCAAGAATCAGCCTTTCAAACTATAGTCTGGCCTCCCAACAGTCTGAGGGACCGTGAATTCGCCCCCTGTTTAAAAAGTTTGAGGACCCCTGCCCTAAACTCTGCTGAAGATGTTACCTAGCCTGTTAACAAAATGTTCAGAAACCAACCCAAAATCTCAGAGAACCTTCACTCTCATCCTACATCTGAGCTACAGATATTCGCCACTATTGCAAGTATGTGATTAGTTGCAAAGGAGATTTTGCTGAACAATATGAAAATGGTGATGTGTACAAATTTGTTCACATTGTTACATTTTGTTACAGGGAAGTTACACCAGGATACATCAAGAGAGAGATAAAAATAAGTTGAATACAATGGGAATGGGGCACATAGGAAGTGTATGTTGGTAAGATACTGTACAACCAAGAATGAATATGGGATGAGTTCAAAAAAGCAGAGTGACCAGTTTGTGATAGTAGAATGAATGGGGATTGAATTCTAAATCAAATACAATATATACCAAAGGGGAAGACAATAAAACAAGGTTGATGGCTGGGAGGTGTTGATCAGATCTCAAGAAGTTTACAGAATAGAATTCAGTATATAAAGCAATGTATGGATATAGCAGAAACAAGAATGATTTGTAAGCCTGGAAAGAAATAGAGATTTAGAATGGTGTCAGTGAAAACTAGATTAAATTCTGTTTCTGTTTTTTTTTTAATCTTTAATTTCTTTGGCATATTAAGGCCTTTCTGCATAAAGCTGCTTACGCTAAAAGAGAATGGAGTATTGGGGAAAAGTTTTGACTATGCTCACTACAAACAAATGAAATTTTTTTTAAGGAAACAATTGAGTCATAAATAATCATCTATTTATAATTACATAGCACAGGATCAGCCACAGTCAACACTGTGTGACCACACCTAAGTTATATACCAGCTTTTGGAAAAGCAATACAATAACGAGTAATGCTATATATAGGTAAACCTTAAACAAGACTGCCTTACCTTTCGTGCATTTTTTCTTTGGAATATATTGTTCAGGTTCCATCTTTGGAGACAAAGGTCTCCGGAGCAACTGAAGCTGAGACATGGTCTTATGTTTGCATAGGAAGAAAGAAAATTTAAAAATAAATCAAAATTAACAATCTGAAAGAATATTAAAGGAAGCACAAAGAAGACAGAAAATTATATTATTAACAAATAGAACTTCCAATTTTAAAAATAATTTTGTTAAACAAATTACTTGGGAAAAAATATTTTTCCTTGGACCTTTATCAAAAAAGATCAGACAACAAGTATCAAGATTCCACTGCTGGAAATCAAAGTAATTACAACTTCATTTCCTTCCTTCCTTCCTTCCTTCCTTCCTTCCTTCCTTCCTTCCTTCCTTCCTTCCTTCCTTCCTTCCTTCCTTCCTTTCCTCCGTCCCCCGCTCCCTCCCTCCCCCCCTCCCTTGACAGAAATGTTTTAAATACAGCTCACTCTTTAAAACTGGAATGTCCAAAGACATGCAGCTCCGCTTCCCAAGATGCTGGGACTTAAGACTCACCTTCTAGCAGACACATGCAAATATAGGTAGTCCTCAACTTATGACCACAATTTAGCCCAAAAATTCAGTTGTTAAGTGAGACATTTGTTAAGTGAATGTTGCCCCATTTTACAACCTTTCTTGCCACAGTTGAAAACTGAATCACTGCAGTTGTTCAGTTAGTAACAGAGTTATTAAGTGAATCTGGCTTCCCTATTGACTTTGCTTGTCAGAAGGTCACAAAAGATGATCACATGACCCCACAACACTGCAACCATCATAAATATAAGTCAGTTATCAAGCATCCAAATCAGTGGTAGGTTCTAATTAATTTTACCACTGGTTCGCATCGCGCACGCGCTTTGCGCGCGATCGCCGCTTCGCACAAGCGCATTGAGTAAAAAAATAGCTGAGGCATGGCAATCCACTCTGCTGCGCCTTACAGCTGACCAAAAAACTAAAGAAATAAAGGTAGGTATAGCACGGGGGCGGGGGGAAGGGCCCAACTGACATTCAGAGCGAACCGGTTCGCTCTTCTATGAAGATTTCTATACTACCAGCACTCCCGAACCGGGGAGAATTGGTAGCAACCCACCACTGATCCAAATTCTGATCACGTGACCATGGGAATGCTGCAAGTGTCATGTGAAAAATGGTCGTAAGTCACTTTTTTCAGTGTCATCGTAACTTTGAATGGTCACTAAACAAACTGTTGTAAGTTGAGGACTACCTGTATACACCCACAAGTAATATACAACTAAAGGATGTATATGCAGAGCTCTTTGAGGGGGCTGTAACCAACATTCTGCCTAAGAATCTGTGGGTGAGGGGAAAGACTCCTTGAGCAAATTGACTGTTCACTCCTTATCCCCATCAATGTCATTCTCTTTTTGAAGATTCTTTGGAGGAATAGAAATTCTAATGGAAAACTAATGGACTTTGGTACTTTATCTGGTTTTAAATATAGTAGTCAAAAGATGAAAATATGAGCAAACAATAAAAGTTATTTAAAAATGAAGATACGAATAAAAAATATGAAAAATAAAGCAGATTTAATAGGGGAAATGCAGAGGTGAAATGCTACCGGTTTGGACCGGATCGCCTGATCTGGTAGCGATGGCGGCGGGTGGTTCGGAGAACCGGTAGCAAAAATCCCGGCGCCCCCACCCCCCCACGATGCCCAGCTGAGCCGCACGATTATCAGAGGCTTTTTTTTTTTACTTTTAAAAGCATTTTTTCTACTACCTCTTCCGATGAAAAAATGCTTTTAAAAGTAAAAAAAAAAAAGCCTCTGATGATCACGTGGCTCAGCTGGGATCATCAGAGGCTTTTCAAAGCATTTTTTTTCTGCAACCTCTTGGCCGAAGAGGTGGTAAAAAAAATGCTTTGAAAAGTTTTTTTTTAAAAAAAAACTTGGCAATGCCCACCCAGTCACATTAACACCCCCCCACGAAGCTACGCCCACAGAACCGGTAGTAACAAATTTTACATTTCACCCCTGGGAAAATGGTTTCAAAATTGAGAAAAAATGTTTTGTTTCAAACAATATTTTGACAACTTACTGTATGCATTGTTCAAGCAATGGCAGAAAGATACATCATGGTTTGTAGGACAAGGAGAAAAGCCAAGGGTTATACATACATATATACATACACGCACATATCTATATCTATATCTATAGCTATAGCTATAGCTATAGCTATAGCTATAGCTATGTATCTGTATCTGTATCTGTATCTGTATCTGTATCTGTATCTATCTATCTATCATCTATCATCTATCATCTATCTATCTATCTATCTATCTATCTATCTATCTATCTATCTATCTATCTATCTATCTATGTGTATAGATATATCTTGTGTTCTTTAATGCGTGCACTTATTCTTCTGTTGGTTTGTCTGATGTATGTGGTGGGGCAGGCGGTGCATGGGATTTCATATACTCCTTGATTTTCTAACTCAATTTTGTCTTTGGGGTTTCTTAGGATGGTGGATATTTTTCGGTTTGTGCAGAATGCTGTCTTGATGTTGTGTTTGAAGAACACAAGAACTCAGTCAGAAAAGAGGAACCAACTTCTTCCCTGGTCCAACACCGTAAAGCCACAGGACATGATATTGACTTTAAAAAGACCAGAACTATCGCCAAAACTGAACACTTTAACAACAGAATAATCAGAGAAGCCATCGAGATAGAAAAATGCCCACACAGCATGAATAAATGAGATGATACCTCCCGCCTACCAGCCATTTGGAAACCCGCCCTCATTGACAAACGAGTCCCTAACACAAAGAATGACACCAGACCCACACTCACGAAAACCACACAGGATGTCACCACCACACATCCACGCAAAAAGCAAACCCACACCGATGAGGCACGACCACAAACCAGAAGCCAGACCACAGCTGCATCATTAGCCACTTTAAACCCCTCCAATCCATACATGAAGCAAACTGACACCTACCATGAAGATGTGGCATGACCACGAACACGAAGCCAAACAACAGCAACGCAGCTCACCAGCTCAAATCCCCCTGCAACTCAGACTAACCCAAGCACAACGAAGCCCCCACCTAAACAGAACACAACCCCATCCAATCAGAGCACAGCCAACCCCCCATCCAATCAGAGCACAGCCAAACCCCCAACCAATCAGAACACACCTCCACCCAATCAGAACACAGCCAAGCTCCCACCCAATCAGTTCACTCCCCCACTGGCAGTTAAAAGGAATAAACAACTGCGATCACACATTGCTCCTAGAAGCACGAAGCCGAAAACACCAGCCTGAAGATGACGAATGAGACTTCGTCGAAACGTCGCCAAGACACTTCCAATTTTACGCGGGAGAAAACCCGAATAACCAAAGACCTACATACAAACACCCACGAAAACCTCAGAAAACATATATATATACATATATATCTACATATACACATACACACATATACATACATACATACATACATATATATAATCCTCCAGTAACTTCATTCCTCTTGTTTTGTACCTTGGTATGTATTTCCCAGTTATAATTGTCCAACCCATTTTATCTACTTCTCTAGGCATTCTATAGAAGTATACCATGATCATGCAGCAGAAACACCACAAACCTTCTAAAATCACCCAAGTATACAAATAATTGAAATAAATAAACGAAGTGACTATTTTAAAAGGCATCTCAGAATGTGTTTACTGTATTTTTTGAAGGAGGTCTTGGAACAGTTCAGCTTCTCATTGCATGGATGGGTTCTACTAGGCAGCCCTGGAATAAGTCAATGGGAAGCTGTCAGGTCTTTCAGGAGAAGGGGAGGCATCCATGTTTCCATTGCTGAATTTCTGTCTTTGGGGAAAGAGAAAGAGACAGATTTTCAAGTTTGGTTTGTCTGATCTGGACAACCCTTCCCAGCCATTGCTTACATAGGTTCTGCTCTGCATTCACCTAGGACATTTGAATCCATTCTTTCTTCACATCTGAGCTCTGACAAACCTAGACAAAAAGTAACTCTTGGTTTTCTCTATTTAAAAGCCTGGAGCCTAGACACACTTTTATGTGCTTGCAAAATCAGTTTTTAATTCTTGGCAACTGCCTGGAGGAGTCTTGCAATTTTTTTGGCAAGGCTTTTCAGAAGCCATTGCCATTACTTTCTAGGGCTATGAGAGAATAACTGGCTTTGTGCCTATGGCAGGGCTACAACTCATGACCTTTCCAGTCTTTATTTATTTGATATCGGTAGTTATCCTGCTACAAACAGACTGTTGATGCCTTACAAATATTATAGAAACTTCATATTCATTTTTATTTTTTCTTTGACATTAGTATTTATAGCATTCATTTTAATTCCAATCCTTGAAATATCATTATACACATTTCTAAAATATTTCTTTGAACTTTTCCTCACTTTACTTTCATTCCAAATACTTAGATTACTTTTACTTTTGCTTATTGTTCCCAGATTTCCTGGTTTAACCCTTTTACCACTTTGGAAAGAAATGCATAACTCCTAGAGCTACTATGTTCTACAGAAAAAAGTACTGGCAAGTCTCATTCTAGATTACCTACATTTTATGTAATTTGGCCCAAGTTCTAATTGTCAGGGAACTATTGCAACTATTGCTACAATTGTCTGCATTAACTGAAGGCCATTAGATTTTATAAAGGTCTAAGTCAGTGATTGTGAACCTATGATATACATGTCAAAGGTGACACACCACAACATTTTCGGTGACACAGTAGTGTTTACCAACACTGTTTTAAAGGCCTTGTGCAATCCGGAGCAGCTTTGAGTCTACTACAGGGGCCTGTCAACAGAGAAAAACATTGCCTGAAGGTAAGTGACCCATGGCAGATCCTGGGAAGCATTGAACTTTGGAGGGCAATTGTGCCGTTCCTCAAGGCTTGCACTTTTTGGGGGAAATGGCCTGAGAGGCAGCCTTTTTGAGTGGCAGTGGTAACACACTAGGGCTGAAGCTAAAGCCGGCCCAGGTTTCTACTTCAGGGCCAGCCTTGGCACTGCCACTGAGTGCTACTGTTTGGGTAGCCTACATAGGGGAAGAGAAAAAATTGTTCCCATTTGGTATTTTATTCAGGGGTAGGGTTATGACACACCAGCAGAGTCAAATTAGGCAATTTCCAAATTTTTGACATGCCAAGGCCAAAAGCTTTGCCATCACTGGCTTAAGTGCAAGAAAGTGATCAGAAAGGCAGAACAGGAATTTAAGCCTCTGAAATGAGCAGGAAATCTCCAAGTGCCAAAGGGCAGGCTGGTGGTTTACCCCATTTTCAAAGTAATATAGATTACTATAAAAAAAGAGCAGGGAGAACTTTTACCTAAAATTATGTGGCCCTTACTGTATATACAGGCAAATAGGCACATGCATCAGTATAGACCCAATATAGTCGATTCAGATCTATGTCATGTTTTACATTAGTAATCCACTCAGTCCTGAAATTTCCTGCCTCGGAAGATCTGATTAAAATAAAACTTCCTGAAGACAATTTTGTCCCATTTCTATAGAAGAAGCACTAAGATGTAGCTCTCAAACTGTGTATATAACTTCCTTTAGTCAACTCCCAGCTGTCTATTCAGAATGCCTATATAGATCAGAAGCACCTGTTAAGAAGGATCAAAATATTTATTTCAGGGGTATTCGGGTTGCATCTAAACAGTTTTCTTTGGTCGGGTGGTGGATCACATAAACACAAAATCCTTTTGCAATGCTGATTTCCGAAATTAGTTGTGGAAAATAAAGTGTTTTTCAGTCCCATGTGATCTAACCCTTTTAGCTCTTCTCAGAAAATGGAGAAACTAATGGTGTGCCGTTTTGTCTAGTGAATTCTTACCTTCCAATTGTAAACTGGAGCAATGCTCTGCTGGACTTAAACACTGGCAAGGTGTACCTAACATTCTGGGAGACAAAGGAACAATATGTCGGAAGGGTCTTTGTGATTGGCTAAGGGAATAAATGGGCATTCCATTCTAGAAAGAATCAGAAGGGAAGAATCCATATAATCAGTAAGGGAACTGATTCACACACTGTAGATCACTATAGACTTAAGAGGAAATGCCTGTGGAGATTTTCAGTCATATAGGTTGTGGTTGTCCTAAACATGGTTTTTCAAAAGGCAACTAAACTTTCTTTGTTTTTTCCCCACCATTCAGTCAAAACTGAAGAAGCTTCTTGGATGAGAATCAAAACATCTTCAAAGAAAAACCAAAGAAGTTGTCTCTTGAAAAAGCACCTTTGGGTTAAGTAGAGATGTAAAAACTATTGTATAAATAGAAAAATGGAATAAATGTGGGATTCCAGATGCTCTTCAAAGCAGGGGTGAAATTCAGCAGCTTCTGACAGGTTCTGGAGAACCGGCAGTGGAAATTTTGAGTAGTTCAGAGAACCGGCAAATACCACCTCTGGCTGGCCCCAGAGTGGGTGGGAATGGAGATTTTGCAGTATCCTTCCCCTGCCACGCCCATCAAGCCACACCCACCAAGTCATACCACACCCACAGAACCGATAGTAAAAAAAATTAAATTCCACCACCGCTTCAAAACTATTCAGTGGTTAATCTAGGACATGTAGCGGGTGAGATTATAAATGTGAACATCACTACAACCATAGGGTTGTCTCCAAATCTGCTCCATTTGTGAGAATTATATGGATTCAAGAATTGTAGTTTATAAACTGTTGTTTATGGTTATGAATGTTAGGAAAACTTAGTTAAATGGGGGTCTTTTTTCCTCATAAATTTTACCTATGTTTCCTCATAAACATGACCTATGATTTGTGAATCCAATTTATAAGTGGGGCTCTTCCACATAATCTGCTAGCTAGCAATGCTTTAACGATTTCATTGAAGTGCCTTCAATGGCAATGTCACCTCAGCTTATCCTTTTGTGGTGTAGAGGCAACGACAATCATGCTTTCCTACTCTGCTTCAAAACTGGTGTGTTACAACTTGTACCAGATTGAAACCAGCCTTATGGATTCCACAGTTTAATTTTATCTAAGCCACATTTGCACTCCTCTTGGCTGCTGTATGGAGCTGCTGGCATGCCTTCTAGTCACTGGTTGTTGCTACCCATTTTGGAGGTGTTATATCTCTAAGAAAAAAAACCAGGGACATATAAATTCTGCACTCCACCGTTCTCTATGACATAGGTCTTAGATATATTATATGGATTATTTATATATTTCCAATATGTTTGCTCAGTTTACTAGTTCCTATCCATTTGTGCAACTAGTGTGTCAAACAGGCAATAAATAGTCAAAAACTTTTCTTCTTTTCCATTAGTGGATTGGTGAAACTTTTTAAAAAAGCAGGTTCACTGGTGGACCAGTGAATAGTAGATGTTCTCCTCCTTCTCCCCATTCTTCTTTTGTAACTGGCTCCGTCAAGTTTCCCTTTTAGCCCAAATAACTGGAAGAAAAGTAAAATTATGATTCTTCTCTTCACCTACCAGTGAACACACTACACGGAAAGATTTTAGGTAGGAAGGGTCATCAACAGAGGAGCTTCATATAAAAATCTACCCATGAAAAACACAGTGGACTTTCCAGAATTGGAACTTGTTTACCCACCATTTCAGTAAATGCACATGTTGTAGCCTTCTGATTTAGATCAGATTCTTACAACATATACAAAGCCATGAAAGCCGATGGACTATATTTATATAAATATTGACTTAAGGCAAAGACCCCCATTATGCTCAGCATAATGAACTAGATCTTAGTAAATATGGTGAAAAGTATTTTTCTATTTTTTTTTAACTTGAGAATCAAAACAGGTGTGCATTTGATATAGTCTAGTTCAGGGGTGTCAAACTTGATTTCATTGAGGGCCGCATCAGGGTTGTGTTTGACCTCGGGGACATGGCCAGCTTGACGTCACTCGTGTCGGGTGCACCTGTGGGGGACTGAATGTTCTGCCAGAAAAAATGGAGATTGGGAGGGCCGCGTGGAGGCCTTTGCAGACGAACACCGAAGTGCATGCGGCCTTCCTGAGCTCCGTTTTCACTGGCAGAGGCATCGCGGGCTGGTCCTTTGCTGTTTCCAGGGCAGCCCCACAGGCCAGATCTAAGCACCCCATGGGCCGGATCTGGCCTGCGGGCCTTGAGTTTGATACCCCTGGTCTAGTTGATATGCTCCACAAGGCTGATAAGTAAATATATAACACCTCTGGCAATACCTCTTTACCTATATAAAGTCTTTATTATTAAATTACAATATTCATTTCAGTTTTCATATATTACACCTAGTTACATACCTGGTGCATTTTTTTTTATCTCATATTATTAAGGAAAAATAGTAAATTGTAGAAACATAAGAAATAAACATTGCATGATGTCAGTACTGTAGTAATTTCTCTTTACATATCACAGATAGAATGACATCCTTCCAGACACTGAGCTTGTTCAAGTATATCCCAGTACTGTAAAACAACCAACAATTACTCAACCATGGGGTATTTTAGAAGAACCATTTTTTCATTAGAAATTATCATTAAAAGCCCTCCAAGCCAACATATACAGTAAATACTACAAAATGGTGATCTCTTACATTCACGCCACCAAATACAGACTTTATCCAAAAACTAACTTAAAAGCTCTGTTTGAGTCTTAATCATTCAAAAGTGTTTTGCACCACAAACCAAGTGTTAATATAAAATTTAAAAAGAAAGCACAAACAAGAACTGTGTATGACATATGAAATTAACAGACAGATTATGGTATTATATGCTTTTGTGGATCAGTGTCCAACTGAGATGCATCAAGTGGATCTTCTTTTGGCAAATGTATGGTGCAGATTGGTCTCAAAGATTGTAAGAAAGGAGTCTATCAGTTTACAACCTGCAAAAGATAACAGTTCTATATAGATATCACATTCACCTGCTCTTCAAAATAATCTACTTTGGCTTTGTGCTGCGGGCATGCAGACAAATCCTGTTCCCGACATCCTTTCATGCCTGGCTGCCACTATAAGATAATATGATGTATGAAATATGAGGATGGTGGTGTTTGTCTGGCTGTGGGGTTTACATTGTGAGACTCTTGTGTGTTGATGGGTTTCGCTTAAAACTCCCTTTCCTAGCCTTTTGCAAAATATTGCTCCTAAAACACATAGGGTTCTAAAATAAGGGGGGAAATCCAGTGCCTGGGTTCTTGATTAAGGTTGCTCTGTTACTGTTGTGAACCTACCTAAAAATCACCTTTCACATTAAATTAAAAATAGAAGAACTTTTCAGGATTTTTGGGATTTAGATGTTTTATTTTCAATACTGATTCTCTCTGGTTCTCATTCATCTTCCCCCCTTTCTTCTATATATTACCTTCACTTGACTCTTCCTTCTACAGAAAGGCTCCAAAGGCACAACAAGCAACCCTAACCCTTTGCTCCTGTGTGGTTGGAAAACAGACCACATCTTTCTTCATCTTGCTTGATGGCCAAAAAAATGAATGCTCATATCTCCTCTACCTTCCTCTTGCAGAATTTGTAAGCCATAGTTCATAGTGATGGTTGTTCTCCTACATGGAATGCTTATGGTCAAATGACTCTTAGCAGCTCCTGCTTGGTACCTGCTAGATCAGTGTCATTCAAACTTGCTAACTTTAGAATATGTGGAGTTCAACTCCCAGAATTCTCCAGCCAGAAATCATGCCAAGAAAACTGGAAGGACTAAATCAGACCAGGAAGCAATTCAGAGAGAGAGGGGGTGGATGGGTAGGTGTAAAGTAATTAATTTAAAGTTAGCATTACTGCACAAGTCTTGGGCTAGTATTATCATGGGGATACAAGTAGTCCTCGACTTACAACAATTGAGCCCAACATTTCTGTTTTTTGTTTTTTTTTAAATTTGATTTATATGCCGCCCTTCTCCGGGCGGCTTACAATGCGTTAAGCAATAGCCTTCATACTTTTGTATATTTATACAGAGTCAGCTTATTGCCCCCACAAACTTGGTCTTTAATTTACCTACCTTAGAAAGGATGGAAGGCTGAGTCAACCTTGAGCCTGGTGAGATTCGAACTAACAGTAATTGCAGACAGCTGGTGTTAATCACAATGCTATTAGTCTGCTGAGCCACCAGACCCGTTGCTAAGCAAGATAGTTGTTAAAGTGATTTATACCCCATTTTACATGGTTATTAAGTGAATCTGGTTTCCCCATTCACCATATCACCATGCAAAAGGTGATAGCAGTAGCAATAGCACTTAGACTTATATACTGCTTCATTGTCCTTTACAGCAGTTTACAAAATCAGCATATTGATCCCACAATCTGGATCCTCATTTTACCAACTCAGAAGGATGGAAGGCTGAGTCAACCACAAGCCCACCTCAAGCCTGTCAGGATCGAACTCCAGGCACTGGGCAGAGTTAGCCTGAAATACTGCACTCTAACCACTGCACCACTCTGGCCCTGATCACATGAGCCTGGGACATTGCAACTGTCATAAACATATACATTTTAATTACGTGACAGGGATGCTGCAACATTAGTGTGAGAAATGATCATAAAGTCACTTTTTCAGCACTGTTGCAACTTTGAACGGTCACTAAACGAATGGTTTTAAATCGAGGACTACCTGTATAGCAGGAGCGGTTTCATCTCACTCTGTTGATGAATCTATATTCCAGTCTGTAAGCTTCAAAAATCATTCTGCAGCTCTTCCACCTTTTCCCATTTGACATACTTTTATGGGGCAAAGAAAAAATGTGGAAGAAAGAGTAGGAAAACATACAACTGGCTAACAGCATCCAGACCTTTCATCTAAAACTGCTCAATTATCCTCAGTCTTCTTACTAATAATCCCTCATCATGTTCAATGGATTCCCTATTCCAGAGGTGTCAAATTCAAGGCCCGGGGGCCGGATGCGGCCCATGAGGTACTTAGATCTGGCCCAAGGGGCCGCCCTGGAAACAGCAAAGGACTGGCCCACGGTGCTTCTGCCAGCGAAAACAGATTCCTGAGCTCCATTTTCATCTGCCATGGCCTCCTGAAACCCTCTGCCAGTGAAAATAGAGCTTGAGAGCCTGTTTTATCTGGCAGAGTGCTCGGGCCACCGCAGGCGCCCCTGACAGGAGTGACGTCAAGCTAGCTACACCCACCCTGGCCACATCCCCCCGGCCTCCTGAGGTCAAACACAACCCTGATGCGGGCCTCAATGAAATTGTGTTTGACACCCCTGCCCTATCCCATCTTCTTCCTTATCCAAATTAACTTTCAATTTTGTTTTCAACCTGCATTTGGTTTTTTTTAACATCAGAAAAGAAAGTCAGTTCAGCAACAAAGAAACAAAACATGGGTTTTTATATCCTTTACAGTCTAAGGAAATAAGATTTGTGAATGTTCTATATATTCTGATTATAGCATAACACATTATTACGGGCTTGTTATTTTACTAAGTTGTCTGTAAGACTAAGATGCTATATAAGTTGAGGTCTTAAACTACAAAACATACACTAAGCCTCTGAAAGTTATTACTCTTTAAATAAAAAATTCTGAAGGATCTCAGAGATTGCATATACTTTAATACAGTGTTTCTCAACCTTGGGAACTTGAAGATGTGTGGACTTCAACTCCCAGAATTCCCCAGCCATTAAACGAGTGGTTTAATATGACATAATGCAATATAGTAAAGAGAGATTTTGCTCAACTGGAGTACATGGTTTGTATGCAGAAGGTCTAAGGCTGGATCTTCATCTAGAGATAAGGGAGGGAAAAAAATCAGCTGGAAGATCTGATGAGGTGCTACCAATTTGTGTCAATTGCACCAGGCTAAGCTAGATCACTGGCCAGCTTCGTATACAGCAGTTTTTCTATAAAAGAAAGATCATGTCATGTGACATTTTTTTGCCTTTGTGCAGCCGGTGTGGGCATGGCCTACGCATGATGCATTCATCCCGTGGGCCACCAGTTTGATAGGCCTGATCTAAATTAACTGAAACCTGGTAGGTTGCTTGATGTCTAAGGGAAGTGGCTGTGATATGATTACATAAAAGTTGTTGGTGATTCCTGCCTCACTAAAGTCAATTCAATTGTGCAAATATTGATTAAAAGATGTACTCAGACATGTCAAATGAACCAGAGGTAGCAATGGACCCGAATTTCAGTTGCTTCAAGAATCCTCTTATTTATAAACTATAGTTTTCTCTCTTTGGACAAGACCAAAACAAATGTCTTCCTCTTGGTTTAGAATATAGAAAAAAGATTCACTATCATATTGGACCAGAGTAAATAGTTAATTAATGTAACCTAGCAAGAAATTATGCTACAAGCAATAGCTATCATCATTTTTTTACAAGTACACGAACATTTGAGAACTGAGGTGTAAGCTTGCTTCAGGACAGCTGAACAAGATCAAACTCTGACATATTACTTGTGCTGACTTGCTTGTGACAACCAGACACCAAAGATATTCTCTCTCATTTCAGAAGTCGCTTAATGTTACAAATTACTGTGCAGAAGAAAAGTCCCCTTTCCAGAAGTGACGTGATCCTTGGGTAGCCTGATCTGCTCAGAAACAGGTATAAAGGAGAGAGAAAAATAGAGATTGATAGTTAATAAGGGAAAGGCTTCAGGTTTGCAGCTAACTAAGAGCACATTCACACCAGTGTTTCCATCAATTCGGAACAAATTTGTTTTTCATTTCTCCTAATCTGAAATGCAGAGAACAGCATGAAGAAATTACAGATACTTCCAGCCAACCAGTAGAAAAGTAGAACCCCCCTCCCCTCCACTATTTTTGCTGGAGCAGCAAAAAAATCGTGCATTCTCCACATTATTCTAAAAAGATGTAAAATAAATTGCCAGTGCTCATCCCAGCATGTATTGTGTGCAATTTTCTAGGCATCTGCAAAAAGTCCGAACAGTTTCTGCAAAAGGATAGCTGCAAAATAAACACGGCACTCTTTCTTTTTTAAAAAATATCTTTTGCTGTCTGTGATTGTGAAAGAATAGCATGCTGACAACTGGGTAACCATGTGTTGTTGTTTTCTTAGTAATATTATAGTCGTACCATTACTGTGGTATGAGGTTGACTGGTTTGAAGTTCAGTGTGTTGTCCAAACACAACCAACAAACGCTCATGACCTTGAACTAGTCTAACAGAGACATTGCTCTGAATGAATTTATCGGATTTCTCAATGCCTGAATCACTTTGCCAGCTTAGTGGATTCCAGATCAAGGCCTGCGGTCAAGGATGATAGGAGTTCTAGATGCACATCTTAGAGACCAAGCTTGGAGAAATCTGGTCAGAATAGTTTGCATAACTATGCAAAACATCACATTCCTAGTATTTTTGCTTGTTGTCCCTTTAGAAGTTCCAAAGCAGTGGCACAGCCTGGGCCCCCTCCTTGAGTTGCCAGTTGGCAGAAAAACTAAAAGAAAACAAAATGCCCTGTGTCTTAGTTCCTCTGTCAGTCAATTGATGGGCAAAACCTGGCAGGATTTTCATAGTGCAGAGAGGAAACATTAACCCTTTCCTGTATTCAGTAAACGGGATGGACAACATTCCACATCAATGTTCAGTTCAGAGTAAAATTAAACCACCATCTGGTTGGTTTAGTTTTGGCAAAGCAGGTAGTATGAAATTCCTGCTATGGTTTGCTGATAATATTTTACAGCATCCATGCAAAGATATTCAGAGACAAAAGTCATATTTTCAGCCATTCTTTTGCTTTTATTTTAAATTTTATTTTTATTTATATTTAAATTTTATTTTATTTTATTTTATTCTTTTCTAGTTCAAGGAAAAGTCAGTGGGACATAGAGAAGGTATATGATCATAAATAGAAAATCATGTTATCTAGATCACTTATGCCCATTTACAAAATACAAAATAGAATATAGCTAATAAGACCCTTATCTAGAAGCAGTGGTGGGATTCTGCTGGTTCTAGGGGGTTCGGCCGAACCCTTTGTTAAATTGCTGGCTCGCCCCGCCCCTTGCCCCGCCCCTCCGCACTACTATTTATTGCCAATAAATGGGGCGAGCGAGCCAACAATTTAACAAACGGTTCGGTGTTTTTTTGTAATTTATTGGCCCTGCAGCACACCGAACTGTTTGTTAAATTGCTGGCTCGCCCGCCCCGCCTCCCACCCGCGCGGCGCCAGCCTACCCTAGCCAGGGGTAGGCAATTGTGGCTCTTTTACAACCTGTGGACTTCAACTTCCAGAATTCCTGAGACAGCTTGGCTGTCTCAGGAATTCTGGGAGTTGAAGGCCACAGGTTGTAAAAGAGCCACAATTGCCCACCCCTTCCCTAGCCCGAGTTCCGCTGCCTGGGATCCATGTGGGCTGCCACATGGTTCCCCACCGGCTCCGGACGCAAGAGAGCAGGGTAGAGAAAGCAGCTTGCCGGAGAACACGTGAACGGCTCCATGTGGTCTGCAAGTCAGTGGCTGCTGCTTCTGTCCCCCTGCTGCTTCTTGCCTGGGAGAGAAAAACTTCCAGAGCATTAAACAAAGGTAAAAGGGAAGCAGGGGGAGGGGGACAGAAAGAGGCTTTAATTTGCTTCACATCGGAGGCTGGAGGCTTTTTGTTTTCATTCGCTGTGTTCCTCTTTCATGCAAAAAAAAAAAAAAAAAGCCCGATCTGATCTGGAGCCAAATGTCATTAGAAGCAATGCTGTCAGCTTGGAGCATTTCATTTCAGTCTTCCAACTGGGCAATGAATTGAACCTCCTCCCCTAAAACAGATGCAATGTGGGTTGTTTGTTTTAGCAACGTGGATTGTTTTCCTAGGGCAGGGGTCTCCAACCTTGGCAACTTTAAGATTTGTGGACTTCAACTCCCAAAGTTCCTCAGCCAGCTTTGCTTTGCTTTGCTGGCTGAGGATTTCTGGGAGTTGAAGTCCACAAGTCTAAAAGTTGCCAAGATTGGGGACCTCTGCCCTAGACCATTTTAGGAGCAAAGTAGTGGGTTTTGCTGGCATTTAAGGAGGAAAGGAAAGGAGGGAGGAAGAGAGAGAGAGAAAAGAGAGAAAAAGAAAGAAAAAAGAAAGGAAGGAAAGAAAGAGGGAAGGAAGGAAGGAAGGGAGAGAGAGAGAGAAAGAAAGAAAGAAAGAAAGAAAGAAAGAAAGAAAGAAAGAAAGAAAGAAGGAAGAGAAAGGAAGGAAGGAAGGACCACAAACCATGGCACTAGACGTGGTTTCCGAAGATGCTTTGAAACAGGATAGCAATCTAGGGCTGGAAGGGACCTTGGAGGCCATCTAGTCCAACCCCCTGCTCCAGCAGGAAACTTTATATCGTCTAGATTGTTTTGGTGCCTCCAACAGAGAGGAAAATTGCCAGAAAGGAAAAGGAGTTTACTAGGACAAGGCTGCCATGCGGAGGAAGGCAGAGATAGTCCTTGACTTATGATCACAATTGAGCACAAAATTTTCGTTGCTAAACAAGAGCGTTGTTAAGTGAGTTTCACCACATTTTACTCAATCCATGACCTCTCCTGGCTCTAACAGTCATGTGCAAGCTAGATAGGGAAGAATATCTGAAGGTGCGTGAAATGTTCTAAATGTATAGAAGTTATAGTTAAATGTGTGGCAGAAAGTGGATTCTGGGTGTGTTTTTCCAAATGTAGTAAGTGAGGTTGAATGTGTATAGTTTTAAAAGAGCTCTCTGTGTACATACACATACAGTATATATAGTATGTAATGTATCCTTTTGTGTGCCTATATACACTCTTTACTATGTAATATGTATGTACACATATGGCATACGTACATAGGATTAAATAGTATATTTTGGATGTTCAGTAGTAGTAAATAAATAGACAGGGAAATTGTATCTCGTTGAGGCCTTTGAGGTGAGGAGAGGCCAAGCACCCTAACCCTAACCCTTGACGTGAATGATGTCAAGTTGGCCACGCCCACCCAGTCACATGACCATCAAACCACGCCCACCAAACAAGCCACGCCCACAGAACTGGTAGTAAATGGACTACTCAGAGGGCTGAAAAAGTTATTTTTGACTGGTCCTCGCACTTTTGACTAGTCCTTGAACTTACGACTGTCCTCACATTTTACGTTTTGCACCCTATCTTGTCACCCTGATGAAGAGAAGTAGTGGTGAAATGACTGACACGGTTGTTAAGAATGCTGCACGGGCATAAATGTAAGGATGGTCAAAAGTGCGAGGACCAGTCAGAAATGACTTTTTTCAGCCCTCTGAGTAGTCCCTATGCACATAGCCATGCCCACCCGGTCACATGACCAGCTAGCCACGCCTACACAGTCACATGACCAGCTAGCCACACCTACAGTCACATGATTGCCAAGCCACACCCCCAACTAAGCCACGCCCACAGAACCTGTTGTTAAAAAAATTGAATCCCACCACTGTCTAGAAGCTTCCCTTAAGAGTTGGAGAAAGCTACCTCTTAAGGGCTGGGCTGGGAAAAATCTTACAGTTGCAAGTAGGCAAAAGAGGAAAGCAGTTTAACTGAAAAATAAGAGGCTATATCTTTGTTACATACATTAATAGAGAAATTTTAGAGTACTTAGATGGCTTCAGTGAGGTTCATACATAATGCTAAACCAAAATTAAAAACCAACATGATAATTTAGATGCTGTATGAGTTCTTACATTATGGTTTGTAAAACCTGTTTTATGGCCTAATATGCTGAATGTTTGATTAAACCATTATCATGCTTATAATGAGGGCATCAGCCCATTTTTAAAAGAGGTCCAAAGAGGTGTACCTTTTTCAGCTACACCACACTTTATAGAGGGAAAGCAACACTGAATGAAATTATATTTTCAAAATTGCAGGGATCAAATATGCTTAACAACTTTCTAGATCTTATCTAGACAATTGCAGGGAAAATTAGATTTTAAGAGTACAAAATCAAAGAAGGAGCTAGAGGTGATATTTGTAAATGTTGTGGTTGATTCCCTCCCCTCATCTTCACCTTCAATCTTTTATTTGATTCTGGCATGACTTTGCTGTCTTTAAAAGCTTTACTATTTCAGAAACATTGCATATTATTTCCTTATCACTGACATGTTTCTGCCCATTATGTAACTTTGTATGTAGCTAGCTATTCATTTCTATGAAGGGGAAAACGCAGAATCATCAGCAAAGGCTGAACTAGTAAAGATTGTACCATTCTGGAGGTTTTGTGGCTCACATTAGGCATTAAATGGAAGGGTACAGCTAATAGGACTTGGGAAACCTGAAGGGAAGACCAAAGCAGGAATAGAGGAGTGAGGCCCCTTTGAAATGACACATACTGCGGAAATGTCTCCCAAAGTTTCTCTTATTACAGACATTGTGATGAGAAAAACTAACCTCATGGAAGTCTGGCCTCTATGTTATTATACCAAAAGGCTGGGGATTAGAATAACTTGGGGACGAAGGGCAACAAAAAAAGGAGACAGTGATTTTATTCCAGAGCCAGTAAATGTACTTATCATGATCTTCTTACTCTAGTTTGGCATCCTAGTTCTTGATAGAATGGATCAAAGTAAAGGGAGGGCAGCCACAATAGATTGACTTTACTTCCACTTTTTATTGGCAGCAGTATTTTTTCTGTTGAAAGCAACTGGTATGGCTACTGAAAGAGGCTGTCAAGGGAAGAAGAGCTATTTTGTCTTCTCTAGTCCACAGGCAGACTAGATGGCCTTTAATCGGAGAGCTATCAGATCTGGTCTGAAAACTCTGGATGATCATGAGATCGCAGCAAAGAGGGTTTTAGATGTTTCTTTGATGACATCTAGATGTTTATAATCCAGAAGCAATAACCCTCCTTTACCTCCTTATTCCCAGAGGTTTGACATTATCTGGTAATCAAATAGCAATATGGTCATTCTCCTGCACGTTCATAATGCTGTAGAAATGGAGATATCAACTGCACCTGTCCAAATACTCTGTCCTACATAATTATTAAAGGAGCAGGCATGTTGCCTGCTTCTGTGCTTGGTTATCCTGCACTGGGCATCTCTCTCAGGTACAAACTCATCATTTAGGTTCATTGGTTTCGTAAGCTACAGCTTGCTTTTTAATTATGTTAAGGCAAAACCAAATCATGATGTGTGAAGCCAGATATTAACTTGGTCTGTTAATCACACATCATTACCAAGCCTTCTTCGATGACTCTTTCCTGTCTATGGGCAAGGATTAGTCTTCCTTCTGGTACACTAGTATTCATAACATAGACCTTCAATACTAGCCATGAAGAAGTTTCATATATCGTGATGTCATCATAAAAATGACACAATGTCATTTGTGTGATGATACCCTTGCACATGTGATGTCACACATGAAACCTTTTGCCATCTCCTCACAAATACCCTCCCCCTTTTTAAAAAAACCATTTCTATCGTGCTACTCACCAAGGCTGAAGTCACAAGATCTGTCCCTTTCGTACAGAGCTTTGGCAAAGATGAAGCTCAGAGGATGATCCAAGCCTTCTCTCAAGTTGTCCGACCCACGTAGTCTTCGGTTCTCATAACAAAGCTTTATTAATTGACTGAACTCTAATGGCAAAAGTGGAATATTGGTAAGAAACAATGACGTCTATAACTATTGGTGATTTGTCCATAATATTCATAAAACTTGACTGAATGAACATTTCATTTCTACAGAAGAGTCAAAGGTTGTGAACAACTGAATTCCTCAGGAGCAGGATCAACATTAGAATACTGCACTTTATAACATACCTCAGGTTACAAACTGAGAACTGTAAATGAAAACCTTGTAGGCTGATCCTGGTCCTTCCGTTGGAAAAGCCTCCCAAAACTCCCATTGGGTTCAGTTAGCACCAGAATGTGGCGTATTATTGACAGAGATGTTTGCATAAAAATACATTTATCAAGGAAGTGAAGTGTGTTCAGTGAGGCATGGTTTCTCATTACCTCTCAAATCCTTCAGAACCCAACAAATTAATAAACTGAACAAAAGGCAACCAACTTTCCTGCCATATCCTTTTCCAAGATTCAGGCAAAGAGGTTTGGCTTGACATTTATGAGAAGGAGAAGAAGGAGGAGGAGGATCTGAAAAAACAACAACAACCCAGTTTTTGGCAGAAGTGCTTGTTTGTTTCATTACATGTCACATCCTAGGCAAAGGACCAGAACTTGTAGACGGAGAATATAAAACTTGGCTAGGATTAGGACTCGAATTCATTCCAGTGGGAATATAATATACACTTTCCATATAGTTGCCATCAGGAACTGAAGGAGCTTCATGCTTTGCAAAATGGTTAAAACCATCACTAAAGTTTGCATTTTCTTGAACGGGCAGTTGGTCTTGGAGATCTAGAGGGCCAGGTGGTGCAGGTGGAGGGGGAAAACCCGGACATCCAGAATATGTCATGTAAGGTTGCCCATAACTTCCTGGATTCATGACCATTGATGGAAAAGGAGGTTGGTAAAGTCCACTGTGTGTTGGCAGAGGAGCTGGTGGTATTAACACTTCAATGTATTGCCCTGTCTCTGGGTCATAAAGCATCTTCAACTGAGGTTGCCTTGGGGATTCTACATAATAGCATTTCCCACTCTCGGGATCAACCAGCATTTTTCGATGTGCCTGTAGAGGAGCAGCAAAATGTCTTGTTGGGCTTGGAGCACTTTTACCCAAAGGTGAAACTCTTTCATTCCTTCTTGGGAAACTGGGGGACTCTTCATGTCTTAGGGGGAGTTGCCCAAGGCATGGGGCGCTGTATAACAAATTATCAGAGGGAGTTTTCCTCTCCATTTGTTTTGATGGGAAAAAATCACTGTTCATTTTATTTCTAGATAAGTCCACTCCTGGCTGGAAAGAAACATTGGAGGTGAATGAAGTGTTATCCATGTGCAAAGGTGGCGACTGCTTAGGATCTGGCTCAGATGGATGTGTTTTCACAGGAATAGTTAAGTAATTTGTGTTGTCAGCTTGGGTAGTAGAAAAATACTGTTCATTTGTTGCCTGGTGGCTGTTATTAAAATAATCGCATCCAGAGTCGTGGACCTTTTCACCAGAGGTTTTTGGGGTAAACATCGAATTTGACACAAGCTTTATTCCCTCCATATACTCTCTTGCTGTTAATGGATTATCTGAAATTATACTTTCTGAATGTATTCTGTGGTGGCCGTCTAACAGTTTTCTGTCTTCCAATGCTGTTGTTTCATATATTCTATCAGCGTATTGATTATTTACTGGAGTTTGCATCTGCAATTTTGGAGTATTTATGACTGGAGCTCGGGTAGCTTGTGGGTACCTATAGTTTTCACAGGATGGCAGAGATTCAGAAAATATATTTTCTTCTTTCGAAAGGACAGAGTAACCTTTACTGTCTTTGGGACCCACTGTGAGGGTTTCGCAGGATCGATGTTTCTGATAGGGCAGTTCAGCTTCTTGTACTTTGCAAGAGTCCATCATATGACTTTTAGTCGAACAGTTATTCTCTCTCATTGAGATTTCCTGGACATATGCTGATGGTGGAATTACAATAATCTCAGATGAAGCAACAGCTTTATTTTCTCTGTGATTAAACTGAGGCCAGGTTTCTTTGTTCGTCCTATCATCTACTGCAGAATAACCCACATAGGGGAAATAATCAGTTGCTGTTGTGTGTGGCTGCTTGAAGATAGAACTGTTCACTTGAATATTAAGCTGAGATTCTTTCTTGGTAGTGGTGGAAGCAGGTCTGACATTTAATTCACTCCGCTCGCAAAGTACTGGTTTCTTTTCAACAGGGTGCTGAAATTCTTTATTTTTGACAGCTAACTTCTTGGACTGAATTGTAGTAATATGCACCCCAGATTCACCCATTGCTGAACATTTGTTTGATACCATGGGAGGAAAATGGTCCCTGGACATCTTTGTACTGGCCTCCTGGAGAGAAAGTGTTGACATATCTAAGCCTTCTGGTTGATCTTGCTTTTTCTCCTGCATGTAACGTCCTGCCAGTACATAGTCTTTCCTACATATTGAGGTGCAGTGTATGAAGAGAGGAGAGATGGTAGTGGATTCCTTTGGAAACCCAGTTAAGTTGTCGTTTTCACTTTTTTCTGCACTAGAACTCTGGTCAGCACTGGAATCCTCTGTGGATTTAAAGCCAAGGTTGTATGCCTCATTCACTATTTTTCTAATGTCTCTGGATTGATGTGTCCTTACATTCCCTTTGTCTGGCGTGTGGGCAGTTCCCTCGGTGAAAGATGCTTTAGGACAATCGAATCTGCCAGTGTTGTGGAATTTGCCAGAAGCTGGAACAATGATTGAGGAGAGTTTCATGCTCTGAAATGTCGGCATCCTCTTGGTGGCAAAACCTCTGTCCCAAGACGTGTGCCTGAAGGCATTGGGAACACTGTGCTTATTCTTCATCTGTGGGACGAGTTTCATTTCTTTAGTTTTGGATACGAAGGTGTTCCTAGAGGTATCTTTGGGTACCACCAGGCTTGAAGGTTTAAAAGAAAAGGTATCTTCTTTTGAATGCAGGGCCTTCTTTTGCTGGATAGCTCGCTGCTTCAGATTTGGCCATGGCTTTTGTGACTTTGCAAATTTGGGAACCAGAGGTAAGGTTTTGGGGTTGTCCTGCATGGCCTCAAACACAGCTCGGGCTCTCCAATATTCCTGCCTTTCCCCAGAGGCCTGTTTTCTGATGTTGCTCGATTCTAGCACGTTCACCCCATCTTCTGCCGAGACAGGGAGTCTGTCCAATGGAGCATCTTCTTGGTACTTCATTCTCTCATTCAGCTCATTAAATGTATTCTTCAGTTTGTAGACATTCTCTCTTAGCTGCTTATTAAGCACAACTCCCTTTGTTGGCCTTAAGGCATTTCTGCCTCCCTCACTGATAGCAAGAGGCTCAGACCGCTCGCTGGTGGTGGAATGGCTCTGCACGTCCTCGGTTGAGAAACTGCAATCGGATTTGGACAAAGAACTGGACTTGCCTTCTAAGCTATCCCCCTGGAGGTCAGTACTGATGGAGGAAGGGACCGAGGAAGGTGAACTGTCCTGGATGGAAGCTTGTTCCATTTTAATCCTTTGCTCATATTGCAATTTTTTAGCTAAGACATTTTTCACTAGATTGGAAGCAAGCTTGGTTTTGCTATATGCGCTGCCTAGAGAAGCCGCTTTTAGAAACTGCTTATAATTTATCCGAAACTCATCACTAATATTCCTCTCCTTTGCAGACGGGTCTTTCCTTGGCTGTGTGAATGACTGCATGGACGCAGGCTCGCCAGGAGCACAAAAGCCCGTCTCCTTCTTGTCCTTCCGTCTCAACTGGATCTGGCGTTTGGGCACCATTCTCTTTTTAGACAGGCACTTTTTTCCATCTGCATTCTCTTGTCTGAGATCAATGCAGTCAAAGTGTTCCTTCCCCAGGACTCCACTGAGCAGTTCTGTTTCTGGGTCTTTGCCTGGTGGTGGGAAAGTCCAGTTTCCTTTGCTGTGGCCAACCACCATTGTTTTCCTCTGATCACTGCACGCCGGCCACCTGTTCAGTCCATTACAGTCTTCTGGCAAGGAATTGGACAGGCTGGATGACGTCCCATTACTAGAACTATACATATCTAGGTAACTGCCTTGGGGACACGAGAGGCTCCGGAAAGACCCAGCGGTGAGCTTTTCCACTTCATTATCAGCCTCATCGGAATCACTCAAAACACTTGAATTTTCAACAAAATTATATCTGGGGCATGCCGATTTGCTACTTACAGGACCATGAGGTCGACTGCCAAGGCTGCTCTTCTTCAGCTTGCGAGCACTGGGCAACATTTCTTTGGATTTATCAGCACTGAATTGTGCAGGATGATCCAAGTATTTAGATCCGCTGCTGTCTCCTGGCTGCAGCCTTGGTGTGACTAGACCCATTCCACTACTGCATACTGGGTCTGAGCTATTATTAGCTTTGATTGACGTCTGAACCTGTTGGCTTTCCTTACCACTGGAACAGAGTTTGTCTCTCCAGTTTTGATCTTTTATAGCACTGGGGAGGTCTGCTTGCAGGCTCTGCACTCTTGCCCCTTGGACTGGCATCGAGCCTCCTAAAGTCTTGCTCTTATTTGGGGGGAAATGAACTTGGATGTCTCCAGAAGTTGCAGAAGAACTATTTCTTCTCCCTTGGTAACAGTTGCTGAAATCATTCGAAGTCCTGTGGGGTTGCCTGGCAGTAGCTGCGGAGATTCTGCTTTTGCGAGCAAGTTTTGTCTGATCTGCAGAGAGGATCAACATTGCTTGTTCGTATTCCGCGTCACAGTAAGTGCATTGCATGATACAATCCCCTCCAGCTTCTTCCAAGTATTCAATACAGTCTTTAAAGCTCTCGGCCTCTTCTGAGCTCGGTGCTGAACGATAAGAGCTAGAAGTGTCGGAGGTGCAATTGCTAGAAACATGGCTCTCTTCTTTCTCCGGGGCTGAGTGGACTCTGCAGTTGTAGTTGCTAAGCTCTTCTTCATTCACTCCAACAGGCTGAGAAGAAAGTGGGCTCTTACTTGACACAGAGGAGAACATTTTTGGTGCTGTGGAGATCGTATGAGTCTATAATGAGACA